ATAAACTCAGATTTAAGGAGATTTTTGCCTAGAAACACGATTTCCTATTGGGATTCCGTTGTATTACAGTCAGCAATCCTGTGTTCTGCCCAATACTCAGCACAATGTATAACTGTTTTCATCATTCATAATATTTCAATTACGTAACTGTGATGACTTTTCAATTACTCTCTCTGCTATAGAACGTTAGCTGCACAGTCTTTTCGACACTTGGCGAAAACAGCACTCCAAGGCGTGAAAGGTATGTAATGCTTTATCAATGCAAACAACAAGATAATATGAAGTAATCATTCAAGATAAAACGCTCGAGTATAAGTGTGAAGGGATATATGGTTGCAAACAAGCTCTGTGTGAAAGGGGCCACCAACACTCTACTTTTTGAAAGTGTTCAGAACTCTGATTCTCAGAGAAAACAAAAGCCACGAAGAGTCATTTTCTTCTCAATGCTCATAGTCAAATTGTATTTGCAAAAAGGTCTTCTACTAATTTTGCTCTCGATATTCTGGTGTTTAGGTTATTTCCATGCAATGTTTAATACATAATTGAGGACCTCTAATAAAGAATTCATGCTGTAACATATAATTGATATAGTAGCTCTTATAAAACATTCAAATTGTCTAACCGTGTTGTCACCTAAAAATATTGAAAATTGAACAGCTTAGCAGAATTTCAAAGGCAGTAGAATATCGTGAATTTTTTAAAAAAACAAACTAACTTCCAAATTATGAAATGGTAAGTTAAAAGACAGAATTGTTAGTATAACGTCTCCAAAATCCACTCACAGGCTTCAATTTTATTGCAGCCCCATATTATTCTATAGGCCAAATTTCGTTTTCAGCTAAATTAGGAAACTTACTAAACTTCCGTTATATTTACATAAAAAAATGCAAAGTAAGTCAATCTTTTGAATTTTCACGGGGGTTTATATGCAAGGAACTCAGTTATCGTTGTCTTATAGGTTCAATTCTGTGAAGTTAGCACAACAACAGCAAAATGTCCCCGACCTAATATTTCAGACAGGATTAATTTTTTTCTAAAACTGTTGGCAAATCACCCAAACTGATCTTACGGGCAAACATGAATACGCTTTGTTGTTAGACAGTATTCATTTGTAATAAGAACAGTGACAGGTTTTTTAAAAGCCTTTAAAGTCATGCTTTTGGTAAATTTGGTCAGATTGAAGCAGGTCCTGAAAAGCGAGAGGGCGTGGAAATGTTCTAAAGATATATTGTGCAAGAAAGCAATGATGGGATTTCTTGCTTCACATCTTCTATGCAAATGTCACTAAGAAGATGAAATTTTCTCTAAATTTAATTGCAGAGAGGCATTTAAAGATTATGCCCAGCTGCTGTCCTCCTTAATTCTAATGAACTTTTTCAAGAAAGTCTTATTCAATACGGTCACCTAAGCAGTTATTGCTTCAGGGGCTTCGTGTGGTTCAAGAGACTCAATGAGGCTAAAGGAAACTTATTGGAAGGAAAACATCGTCAACAGACAGTTTGGTTAAACATTGTGTTATCTTTCGGGGGTAGTTTCAGGGGCGAAACTGCTAAGGGGTATGGGGGGGGGGGGTGCTGCACCCCCAATCTTCAAAAAAGCAGATCCTGTCGGGCAAATTTATGGCTGCCAGTACATCTGTCGAGCAAATCTGAAATTTTTTTTTAGGTCGCAATTTTATTGCTACTTTTTGCCCTAGCATGGTTTTTGAATTTATGGTCTTTTGCCTCCATCTTTTTTTCAATCTCGGTCCAGTTGGGAAAACAAAACAGAAACGAGGCAAGCAACAGCAACATATATACATTTCTGTCTTTCGTCCACCGATCAGTGCTTTTGTCTCGAGCTCGACGCGCACGTGTCTATCTTCACCTCGACTCGAGATGAAGTCTAAAGAATTGATCGACAGCGAAAGTATGAACGGAAAGTAAAGTGTGTTTGATGCAAGAAGGAAATGAACAACCCCCCCCTACTTAATGCAAAACAAGAGAGCTTTTTTCAAAATCTTTTGTTGTGATTTCTAAATTTTTCCTTGACAAGCTCCCCCCGAACTTTCTAACCTGCCTCTGAGCCCATGGAACACTGACAATTTTAGAAGCATCAAAAATCAAGGCATGAAGGATATAAGTTGTTGAGAAAAATCAGCCAATGCTTTCTTTTCCAAATGTATGAAACTTTCATCATACATTCATACAGTGGCGGAAAGTATTGGGGTATGGGCCCAATTAGCGATCCCGTCGGAAAATTCGGCCTTTTGTCGGATAATTGATAAATAACCATTTAACGTGTCGAAATAACTTCAAGAAATCGTTCTGAAATGTATTTAAACGTTCAGAAAACGTTCTGAGATGTGTTAAGCTAATATAGGGGGCATGTTTGCCAAATTTTCTGATCCGCAGGTGATCCACATTTTCCCTTTTCACCATGAGGGCCTCTATAACCTCTCTGTGCCCTTTTTGCAAAATTTGAACATAGCAAAGCTGATAACAAGATAGTTCCTTATCTTATCTTGCTGATAAAATATCAGCCAGTATTAAGTAATCAAACAAACAATATATGACAAAAATTAAAACTGCTTGCGAATTGTATATCTAATTTCTATTCCGTAAAGATTAGCCGAACTTTCCATCGGATTCTTCCAACCAAAATTTATTTTCAAACGTATTTCCAACTGAAGAAAACATGATAAAATGCTGAAAATGAACATTACAATTACAATCATGTTGTTATCATGAACGCCTTGTCAAAAGTGTAATCGGTCGACCTCTTGTATCATCAATTGTCTTAGATGAGATATCGATTTTGATATCAAAAATCATAAATAGATTGTTCTTCTTGCTACTCAGTTATGGCGTGGTTCGCAAAGATTTCTATAGGGTCCTGCTAAAACTCACTTATTTTCATCAAAAGGTGCAGTTTCCTTAAAATTAGACATGATCCAAGATAATATCTTCTCGGGAAATCGTAGGCCCGCTCCCCCCCTCAGATTAAAGCCTGAATTTCCGCCACTGCAATCATAAGGAGTTATGCTCCGAAATTCTCTTAAGGTTTTACACTTACGGTCCGAAAGTTTTTAACTAAAAAATTTAAATAACCGTAACAAGTAACAGAAAGTTTTAATCAGTTCAAGCGGGAATTAATATAAAATTTATCAAGAAATTGTAGTTGAGATATGAATTGCAAAAAACTTCAAAGTTTATTCTATTTCTGAACAATACCCATGATTACGAAAACATGAAGATTGAGCTTTGATGATAGGTCTACCTGTAAAATACCTCCAATAAAAACTTTCCCTTGCTTGAGGGATTTTGTTATGGTGAATTCAGAGATACTTACTCTGTGCTTGAGTGTCTAAAAATGTTGAAATTCCTTCCGGAGCAACCGAAAGTTGAAAATCAAACTGAGAAAATGCAACTGAAGCTCTTTTTGTTGAAACATTGTAGTCTGCTTAGCTGTTTCTAAATTCCGAAATTTCAGAGCTGTTTTGTTTTTCCACTTTGATAAAATTGAGACCCTACTTCAGTCTCTTTTTTGTATTGCTCTCCTAATAGCTAGATGATTTAGAAAGTGAAGACTATTTTTCTTTTAAAGAAAAGACAGGCTTTACAAATGCTTGCTTTTCGGAAACAAATGTTTATAGTCAAATCCAGAAAAACTAGAGGCATTTTTCTTGACTTTAAACAAACAGCCTGAATCTAAAGACCCTCTCTCGGGGTCCCCGATGATTTCAGTCCTTGTAGCGACGTGCCCTAAAAATGAGGTTCAAGCATGACACGCCCTTTCATCAAGCATGACACGCCCTTTCGTCGGGCATCTAAGTTTCATACCTCCCTAATGAAAATTGTGAAGTTTCGCCCCTGGGTAGCTTTTTATTAGTACTTCTCCATTAAATTTTAAAAACCATTTTCTGCATATTCTCAGGTGCTTTTCTTACTTAGCAATTCTATCTGTTGCGTACAGAGTTACTCATTGCCATCAGTCAACATATGAAAAAGAGCAATTGAAAGTTCATGATAGATTTCTTCACGATTTAAAGAGAGCCGCTGTCCTATTTGAAATCCAGTCTACTGACAAACGGAGTGTTGTTCATGCAGCTGCTAAGTTTGAAGGCGCAAATACCAGTAATTAAAAGCACCAAGTGCCCTTGGCGATTTGATAAAGCATGCATAGAAAGTTTCCTACAGGCCTAGAGGCATCTGGAAATACACTGCACTTGATGAAGAGGCTGTTTAAGCTGTGTATTTCAATATCGTGAATTTCGATTAGTAGTTTCTGGCTGTAGAGCTTAATAGGCGCGGACCCAGTTGGCTATCTAGAAATACCATCGAATCAAATCAAGGCTCCTATCTATCGAGTGTTGCTTCATGTGATCAGGTTCATGGCAATCAAAGAATTCGCCCAAGGTGGCGCAAAGTTTTTTGCATTCTCCAATAATTAAGAAGGCCCCAAAACAAAAACGTTTGGGTAAACAATAAAATATTTTTAAAGGTCATCTTAATTATGCCTTTTGCCTTCAAGTTTGAATAATGGTATATCGTCACACTGAAAAAATTTTATGTTTGAAGTACTGTACAGTTTCTGTTTTATGCTCGATTCTCAAGCTAAAATGGCCGGCAGCGGGTTGGGCGGGGCTCTCCTAGACCAGGGTTAGCGTTGATGGGTCACTTCTTTTCTACACCGCGGACTCAAAAAGAGGCAGTTCTGGAAAATGGTTAACCTAATTTTAGATTGTTTTTTCAAGTCCCATTTAGATCAGTAAATTAAGTATACGGTTAATTATATTGCTGAAGTTTTTACCGAGTAACTGAACATAACCATTGATATTTTCTTTTGCTACAAATTGTCACCCTCATGTCTGCGAAAGCGCTAAGTTTTCAATTGCGGAAGCTTGTTGTTCCGGATTTCTAGCAGAGCCCTGGGTTGCCCCTGCAGGAGAGCAAAACAATTGACATTTATTGTAATGCATGTCTGAAGCACTCATTTCCGGTTATGGCCGGAAGAATAGTCCTTCAGCTGTCAGAGTTTATACATTAGGAACATGGAGAGAACTGGTTGCCATTGAGTCCAGTACGAAACTTTCGGCATTTCTTATTTGTGCGACATTTTGATTCCCTTTCGAGACGAGATAAAAATTCGTTTGCTGTGCAATCATTGACCAAGCCGTTTGACCACATTTGGAAATGACACGGGGGGATACTCGTCTTGGTTTTCAGTACGAGTAACCAAATTTGTTGACCAGACTTGGATTTAATTCACAAAGGTTGGCTCAGGGATACAGGGGCTGCAGTAATTTTTTAATCGTTTCTTCTACCAGATATTACGATGAATGCTGCTGATCTTTTCCTACTCATATCTTACTTTTTAACATATGGCTGTTGGAATGTGGAAGGAAAAACAGTCGCCATGGATCACATTTTGGAAGCGAATTTGAAAGCGAAGGGTGAGTTTTGACACTCCAGCTTCTATGTATACGCATGTGGCAAATTTAAATCAAATACGTTATCTCGTCATCCAATTCTTGCTTGGATTTGATTTTTATGTTTTAATGATTATGTTAGCTGTATTTGGTGTCTGATAAATAAGGACACATCAGTTGCATTCTTGAAATTGAAAATTTTTCGCGTGTTAAGAGGACGGTCGAGAACCGTTTGCCTTCGGCTAATGGCATAGACAGGCTTTGTAGGTCAATATAATGATTTTTTGGACCTTTGTGGTGATGCTCACCGAAACCTTTGTGTAATATAGAAGGTCGTAAGCTGTATAAAATACCTCTATTTACGAATTTGCTTGCATTTCCCCCGACCGTTTTTAGGGTTGCAGTAGATATATTGTCCATTCATTTGCTTTGGTTTCTACCCAGCCTCTGAAGCACAGCCTAAAACAAAGCCTGCATGTCTCTGTTTATCATTAACTCGGATAATAACCGCCAAATTCAGCCTAAGAAAGCCATAAGTCTTGATTTCGCCAGCTGTTATATCTGATTCTCTGGCTGAGCACCAAATTCTATTCTTTATTTTGTTGTTAAGCATTGGCACTAAAAAGCGTTTTCACGTCTTGCTTGTCCTTAAAACATTTAGTAGTTCCATCGTAGACAACGATTGTTGTTCCGAATGTCAATATTTTGAAGACAAGGAGGACTCCCAGGACATCAGGCTCCTTGGATCATGACTGACCTTTCCTCACACAAATCTCACGTCACTACCAGCTCTCGAGTGCGTGCAAATAGTTGCAATGATTATTGTACACACTAGAAGTACCAGATTACTATACAGAACTGGTACACACTAGTTATGATAAGAGCCTGCTATGCATTGTTCATTTACGTAAAGCATAGGCAACGCGATTTTATGTATGTCATATTCGCATTAAAGTGTACTCGATGATTCGCTAATGCCATCTCCCTGGTATGTATGACATCCTGTTAATCGGATTATCGCTTACAGGTTCCCTATGTCTTTTTATGTAATCAGTTGGCCTGTGCATCAAATTTAAACTTGGTGGATAAAAGTTTTTTCCTTATGACCAGCGACTTTCCGTAAAAGTTTGTTAAATTAAGCAGGAGTGGACACCTGGGGGTAAGCCTATTATTTTAATGTGATGACTCTGCATTGTCCCATTGTTTTAGAACAAAGGACCATTGTCCTCCAAAGTATTGGGGGCGACCTCCCCCCAAGTGTCCGCCACTGAAATTAAGTACTGCTTTTGCTGTGAAAATTTCGTTTGCCATGTGTTGTGAATCACGAATGACTTGGCCTCCTCCGATCGTTAAGCAATTTTGACTTTTCTTCTACAAGCAGAATTATGCTCCAACAGCATATCCAAGTTCATTCAAATTCTTTTCTCGCTCTGTTTTTTTAATAGAAATACAAAAAAGATACTTTTCTTTTATCTAGAAGCTCCATAAGCTTCAAGAAATCGTCATAGCACGTGACAGAAACAAAAATGAGGTTACAAATACAATTTCAAGAAAATTTATCCATCTTTTCGCAAGAGGTATTTTCTATGGTGTAACCTCTCTGGTGTTTCGTGTCATTATATCAAATATTGAGTTCAATTATTACTCATCATGTGTGTAAGCCAAAGTGTCACACCCTAGTGCCACACTAAAGAGCCACATCGAATCTCAACCTTGTTTTTCTGAATTTCTCTTTTGCACTAAAACTCTAAAATAGCTGTTCGAATGCACTCGGATTATGAGTTCCCCGAGTTTTGCTAATGCCTAGTATATGACTCCGACAGTACGTCTGATGACTTTCAAGTCTAGGGGATAGTCGCCAAAGCGAAATTGATCGGCGAAGACATAGTTTAAGACAATTTTCTTCCGATTCTCACACACTGTCCTGAAATTTTGCCAACCAACAAACGAGTTTTTCGACCAAAAGAAGATTTGACCAAACAATTCTATGACAAACTGAGGGGGTGTCAATCATATTCCATATACTCCAACCCTCTACTCCGTCAGATACGCCCCTGATCAAAATCGCAGCTCGTTACCAGATTTCTCGTCGGTCGACTTACAGGCTCATTCGATTCGACCAATCAGGTTCACTACCCTTTGCTTAATACCCGTCACGCACCAGTTCTTAAAAGGTTGAATGAAACAATTTTGGGTCTCATTTTAGGAGATATTTGCCCCTGATGCAGAACTCGCCCCCTCGATCTCACCCACAGAAAAATTTTCTTCACAGTTTAAAGAAGCGGAAACATGTGTTTGTGCTTGATTAATCAATTACTTTCAAAGAGTATTGGGACACAAACTTGAAATTTCGAAGATTTTTACCTCTTAAAAGGATTTCCCTAGATTTTTGAAATTTGCCGATGAAGCATCCTTTCGTGGCAAAATGCTCCTCATTTTTGCTATGAATTTTTTTTCGAAAGGGTATCACAACCCCGCCCAATAGACAACCTTAGTGACGGCCCTGTTTCGATGGGATGATCAAGTGACGAGACCGGGGTGGGAAGTAGGCTTGTTTACATTGACAACAGTGACAAAAGTATTGTAAGATCGTAGTTCATAAGCACTTTAAATTGCTGAAATTATAGAGGATCTCCAAGAAAAGTAGACAAAACTGAGCAACAAAGAAGATGAGAAGATGAAGCACTTAGAGAAGATGAGCTCTTGAAAAGTCAGCAAAATGCACCTAAATGGGAAAATTGTCTATTAATGTGAATACAGGTCCCAGATGCGGTGATGGCGTCTTATGAAAGGTGTGGACTACTGCAACGCCCTTTCTTATATGAAAGGATATTGCAGTAGTCCTAAATGGCTTTGAAAAAAGCAAACATTTAGTAAACTAGAGCTTTTCGTCTGACACTCTTCAGAGTTTTAAACGTCAGAACATAGATCGAAAACTCTACGCTAGGAAATATATATACCCAGATGTGGATCGAAATAGGCCAATCAGAAACACGAGCAAATGACTGTATAGGTTGACCAATCAGTGCCACTTGCCTATTGAAAATGTTACCAATAGAGTCCTAAGGTGAAAACGAACTCCTTCTGTCTACACAGTAGCGGTTTTTTCGTGGTTATGTAGATAGATTCCAAAACTGAACTGCAGTAGTCCTTTCCTGGAGAAATGTTGCATTAACATTTTCATTGGCTCGTTAATTTGTGCTCAAGCGAGACTTTTCGTTGTATCGAAGGCCAACTGCCATCATTCAGATATTTCTTACAGTATGTAGGTACTGGGTTTGCGAAAAACTCATTAAAAACAGAGGTAACAAAAGTGTTATGTTAACTGTTTCCAAGGATGTGTAAAACCAACACTGTAATGAAAAGGACTTTCCCGATGAAAGGTGTTTAGCATTAGATATTGGATTATTCCTAAGTAGCGAATTTTGCCCAAAGATTTCCATTGTGCACACAAAAAGGTAGTGTGAAAGGTAGAAAACGCTTTTGCGATGGAATCAATTATTGAATTTCGTATGTAGGTGATCTACCTAGCTTAAAGGATCAAATGCTCAGAATGAAATAAGAACCCGCAGTTAAGTAAGCCTTTCGACGCTGTTTTCCCAGTGTTAACAGTTTAGAAAGATGTCATTATACCCCAGGATAACTTAAATATCACAAGCAAATCTCATATTAAAGATAAAATGAAACTGCTTGATACCACGTAGCTGATATTTTGAATAGAGTCGGATACAAGAGATAAACCTTCTCTTTACGGAATTTCATAGCAGAATGCCACCCATTTGAACAAAGATAATCGAGAAATAACGTTTTCTTGTTGTTTGCATGATATTCCTTGCTGGATGCAAACATTTACATACTAGGCCAGTTAGGAAATTGCTCATGCCTTACTTATTTTCTCAATACACTCATTTCATGTACTTTGTACCATGTATATTTATACAATCGCAGCTAATACCTTACCAAGTACGATGCAAAAATCTTTCAAACTCTGCCAGCCACCCCTACCCCAAAGTATAGATTGTCCGGGGTTCGCATGGTCCCACTTTTGCTCTTTCACACCACAATGTATGTCAAAGTTCACAGAGACGCCGGACGAGCTGCAGGGTGGGGGCGAAATGCCAAGAAAAAGGGGAAAACAATAGCAAAATAAAGATGACTGCTTAGGTTTGCGAGCGCTGGAGCCGCCCCTGGATACCCGAGCTCCAGCGTCACTGCCAACATTTAATTGATAATGTTGCAGTGTTGTTCAAGACAGGGAGCCACCTTTATGTGGTCCTGTCGGGAATTTTTAGATCGGCCTAGGATGAAAAAATTGATGTTGCTCTCGACGAATTTTTTAATTAAGGTAGCTAGAGAACAGAGTGCAACACCGTTTTTCACGTTGCAAAACGTTTTATTCCAGGTAAAGTAACCTTATTAGGCCTTGATAAACCTTCGTTCATCATACTCAAATGAGACCAGCCTCTTTGTCAAAAAGTGTTCGTCACGACGGCCCTTCACTTTTAAGCTAGGAATGCGCTTTCAAACATGATTGTCGAGAAGTACCTAATGACAAGATAAATCCCTTGCCTGAAAATTGTTCATTATTCCGTTTTTTATTATATAGTAATTCTCTAACGCCACTAACCACATCTTTACATGATAACAGTATCATGACTGCATGGAGATACATCGACCATAATTGGCCGTAAACATTACTCAAACACATTGCGGATGGCCAAAGACTGAACGACTAAATGGATTTTCCTTCGATATTTATAGCCTTCACCCCGTAATATGCCTTATTTTTCAATTTCCCGTCGTATCGCTTTGTGGTAACCAAATATGGTTATCAGCTTCTTGCTACGCTTTCGTAAGATCTTTGTCATATCACGAAGGAAACACGAAGGAAACACGAAGGAAACACGCAGGAAACACGGCGATCTATAGAGAAGGTGCAACATCCCGATTCTCGTCAGAAATGTTTTCTAGCACGTTTATGACGGATATGGTATTACCTATCATCGGTGGACGCAGGCAGAGTTGTAGAGCCCCCCTTGAAAATGCTAATAATGAACCCTTTTCTACTTTTTGCTGTCGCTATTGAGAAATTTTTCGAGAAGGCCCCTCTTGTATTTTTCATAGCAACACTTGTAATTTCATGGTTCCCTGGGTGGAACTCTCCTTTTTGCTTTTTTCTTGAAACGTGTTTCACCCAAATGCTCTTCTCCTATTCCTTTCTCTTTTAACCTTTCAATCTTTTTTCAAAAAATATTACAAGGTTGTTTAGCATAAACATGCCTTCTTTCCCCTTTCTCTGGCATCTTTCATTGCACGAAATGGAAATGGAGTGGAAATTGATGGGCGGAAACTTGCCGAACCGTTTACCGTTTACCGTTTTCCGCTTTCCGTCCATGACCGCCAAGGGGGTATGCTTGGGTAATTACCCCCATTTGTCAAAACATGGTCTAGGTAGTATTTCATATTTCACAAGGAAAATAAACCTGGTACAAAGCACTGAAACGAGGCAAAAGGGGCATGGTCTCACTGACCACGCCCATTACCCTCCTACTCTGCAGTAGCTGGCGCCGCCATTGAATGCATTACAACTATTTTCATAAGAAACTTTCCAATAGTCAGCAGCGCGAGTTTCTTTGCTTTTTACCGTATTATGGTACAAAACGTTTCTTACCCCTATCGCTACATAAAGCTTATTTTAGTATTTCTTTGTTAAGCAGGTAAAGAAAACCAAAAAATTTATCGCAGGAGCCTTATACTATAGAAACCTCCGTTAAAAAGATTTTGGAATAACAAAACTAAATTATCAGAAACAGTTTTCCGTTTCAATATTTGTGAATTAGAAAGAGACAGTACCATTTCTGGCAAGATGTGAAAACTCACGGTAATTGTAGCTGTCTCCATTGACGTATGTTTCGAATGTTTTCTGTGAAAGAGGCTTTGTGTTTCAATAAAATACCATTAGCGCTCCGTCACACAAACCTGTAGTTTCGAATTAATATCTACCGTTTACATATACTCAAATCAAACAAAAAGGTTTATTTGCTGGAGAAAGTGGCGAAATTTCAATGCAGTATTTTTTAAAGGATTAAGGTGTTCTTGCTTCCTTTTGCCACTCGAAAAGGTAGGGAGCCAACCCTTAGGAGCCAAGTCTTTCTTCTTTAGTCTGCCACCATAGTAAGCAAACAGTGTATGCATCTTAGAAGTAGTGAAATGATAATAACTCGGACAAGGTCATGTTGTAGATGGTTACAAATATAATTTTGTTTCAGAAATCATGACGATTTAAGTTTCGACCGTATCAATCACTTCGCGATTGAACTGAGTGTATTAGATGGAGGAGGAATGTGGAAGGGGTTAGGTGGGAGGGGTTAGGTGGGAGTGATTAGGTGGTGGTACCGGGGGATTTGTTGTAAAGCTACAATTCATATCCAGGCAAAATCATCTATACGGTCATTTTATGGAAGCATCGACCTAAGTACGTCCTTCCAATGGCTGCACTTCTTTTGCGACTGTCATTGTTGGAAGTTATGCCTGTTTTTCCCATTCATGGCTACACAGTGCGAGCATTTGATGTAATTTGCATTGCCATGACCGTATCGAATAACAGACACCATGAGAATTCACGGTATCTTCTTTCTTCTACAAATCTGCGAGGATTACAGTTGAATTCCTGAATACAGAACTTAAGCTTTCATTTTATCTCATCATATTGCTCAAACAATCTTATCCTCCTTGACCCTCGTCAATGAAAATTTTTTAACAAAAGAATGGCCACCTTCTGCTCCAGTTAAGGGCAGGGCCTCGACCACGCATGGTTAATTCCTGCCCTGTCATCCCACATTTGCTGGTTGATCGCCGATCGTGTTGCAAAGATTATCTGCTGAGTTTTATGTGGCAGCTAGCGCACATAGCTAGAGTTATTCGGGAACAGCAAATTTTCCCACATGTGAAAACTTTATTTCTCAATAGAGTTTTTCATTCCCGAGTAAGTAAATTAACAGAGAGAATTCTAAATAGAGTTTTTCATTCCCGAGTAAGTAAATTAACAGAGAGAATTCTTTTTCTATTTCTGAAACAGACAGGATTTCTTTCCAAGTCAAACCTTGTTACAGCTTCTTAACCCTGTCTGTACATAACGAGGCTACTCTCAACCACGTTACAAACGACTATTGTATAATTCAGAAGTTTTTTCATAGAGTAATGGCGTAGCAAGGAAAATGAGTTGGCCTGGATGCACCCTTCTTTTAATTCGTTGTATTTTCACTATTGAAATATTTAGCTAGAACATTAAAAGGAGCACAACATTTTTTCTCATTCCGTGATGATTTCTTTATTTTAGCTTGAGGACCTTTTTTTATTTCTTCGTTTTCAGCATTTGTGCCAACATTCAGTTAAAGCGTTCTTTTTGTGTAGTCTTATATTTGCTCAGTCGACTTAGCATGTGTACTCTAATTCAGGCTTCACCTGAACTTATTTTAATCTTCTTTTTGCCCTTTAGAGCGTAATGAATACTTCGAAGGGGATATTAAATTCAATCGTTACGAACGCTACCAGAGTGACGGCTTCGATGCTGCGGTATCATGTCCCACCCACAGAATTAGATGTAGCAGACTGTGGGATGGGGGAGTCATACCATACGTCATCTCAAGGGATTTGAGTAAGTTTCTATACGTTATCGTCTGAGTATTTAACCTATAACCAATTTTTGTGACTGCTTTACTTCTCGTTATCGAGATAAGGAAAAAAGATCGGCAAATTTACTGAATATAGCAAAGTTTAAAAACATTTTATAACTTCATCCCCTAGAAGATTTTCTTGGAAATAAGTTATCATTAAATAAAACAACTATGACAATCACCTTCATCATGTTGTCAGCAACATTTTTGTTTAGTAATGAGCCCTTTATGTCATCTGATAATCAAATTGGATCCTCCAGTCATTACCGTTTTTTCTTTCTATTAAAATGATAGTTAAGTTAAACCTTTCACATATTCAGAGGCCTTCATTTATATTCAACTTGAGTTGCAATTACAAATTTAAAATGGCCAGTCTGGTAAGCGAAAACTATCGCAATTAAGAAATAGTCAAGAAAGGCAAAGACTCAACCAAGAACCAAATCTGTACTTTTGTAAAGTTGAATGATTTATAGATAAAATACTATTCATAACTTCCATCTATCTATTCCCTTGCTAGTTTAGTCTGCCACAAGCTTCTATAGATAAGTTATCTTGGCTGTAAATAGTGAGCTATTTCAAGACTTCAAGTAAGAGGAAAATTGTTGCAAATAAAGACAGGAAGTTGCGTTTTGTTATCAAAGTGTATCAGAACACAGCTGATAAGTATTCTCACCATCAATTTCCGCTTGGTTTTTGGGGACACCTCGCCTAATGAGTTATGAGGAAATTGTTTTCATGTCCCATCCTTTTGAAATTCAATTCGTTAGCTACCACTGATAAATTTATTAAGTGGATTAGGCATTAACAGCACCGTATATCTTGAACACGTTTACGAAACTCTTCAAATATTCGCGTTCAAGTGTGGTTGCAGTGGCGGACACCTGGGGGGAGGGAGGGGGCGAGGGGCGGTCTCCCCCAATATTTTGGAAGACAATGGTCTTTTGTTCGAAAACAATGGAAAAATGTGACGTTATCTTATCAAAACAATAGGCTTGCCCCTCCAAATTTGACCAAGTGTAGAGTAGTTGCATCGTGTGTATGTGAAGTATTGTGGAACAAGTCTTGCCACCCAAAATATAGCATTTCTACATACCGCGTTTTCAATTCATACCTACGTTGAATCTAACTTATACCCACATTTGGTATCCATGTTCTTTTACGTATTTTTTTATAAAACCCATATTCTACCTTCTTATATTCTACCTCCTAAAACCTATACTCTACAGTTTTCTTCACTTACAGTCTACCTCCTTACCCCTAGTTTTCTAAAATCTACAAGCAAAACAATTATATATCCTGTAGTTTTTTTCTACAACGTATAAAGCCCTCGAGATTCCTACCGTAGAAGAAATCCCTGCACATGGCAGCACTGAATAGTATCAGAGTGGACGATCCATGAAGATTTCATAAGATACTCTTGATAAAGCAGAGAAATATGCTCAATTTTTCATAGTGTTCTTGTAATGTGTAACAGTACTTTTAAAGCAATGATGCAGGCTTTTCTTTTAAGTATTTAATCTTTGCCATTTATGAAACTTTGTCTCTTCAAGTGACCCTAACGTTGATTCAATTCTGCTTTTCAGGAAGAGAAGAAAATGCAGAGAAAATTGTTAAAGAGGCGATGTTAGAATGGGAAGCGAAAACTTGTATTAGATTTGTCAATCGAACGAATGAGGAAGACTTTGTAAAATTTGAAAAGCTGGAAGGGTACGTATACAATGATCAACTAGAAGGATTTGTAATGATGAAGGTTTTTAATGTAGTTTATTTTATATAAGATCCAGTAGCACCTTCTATGGAGAGTTTGGGGCTATGGGCCTAAGCATCAGAATTGTGCTCGAAGCCAGCAGTCTTTATGATGTCGACTTTAACCAGCCTTTTTTATTGTAATGATCTCTTAACATTTTTAATCGACTGCAGGCGGGATCAAATATTTTTGCTTAAGAGGCTATAGCTATAGCCTGCATTAAAGGCTCACGATGCCCCCATTCTTCCACCCCCGGATAGTGTCAAATTATTAAACTGTCAAACATTTGCCTACAAATTCCTGGTATCCTTTACCTGGTCTTTGACATGTTTAGATTTGGTATCCATGTTCTTTTAACGCCTCTTCTTTTAACGCCTCCTCATTTAAGCGTCCCGTCCTGATGATTTGTGTAGACGCTACTAAGATCATAAAGGTTTCACTACTGTACAAAACAGAATTTTTTTTATCTATCTGGAATTTATTGGTGCATGGTCTCCTTTCGACTCCACCCTCCATCCTCCTTTCGTCATAAGAATAAAAATATATCAACCAACGTATGTGATAATTTCCTCCCATGCCAAAATTGTTTCATCAGTTATTTTGGTTTTTAAAATTGTTTTACCAAGATAGTTATTCTCTGTACTTTAAATCACGAATTCTGTCAATCATGCATTCTTTAAATCGGGTTTCTTTTCGGTAATTGGTATTTTCTAATTTTGCTTTGAATGATATCAGATTAGTTCTCCCTTTTTGGCCTTGAGGGTATTTTTTGCTAAAATGATAATTTTCTTTGTTGATTTTATGTTGGCAACATTGCTTCAATGTCTTTCTAGATGCAATGCTGACGTTGGAAGGAAAAAAGGAATGCAAAGCATCTCACTCGGGGATGGCTGTTTGCACAAGAGCGTGGTGGTGCATGAAATAGGGCACGTCATCGGGTTTTGGCACGAGCAAAACAGGCCGGACAGAGACCAATATGTCACTGTTTATAAAGATAATATTTTGGAAGGTATGAATTCATCGTTATCGGTGTTTTGAAACTAGATTTAAGATTATAGATTTCTACAGGGCAGATCAATTTTAAGAATTTTCCGTGTTTATATTATAGTCAAACGTCTTCAATCGACTTTTTTGCTAAATCTATAAGTTTACATCATCTGTTTCTAAATTGAAAAAAGGAAGTTGTTGTCCTCTCAGTTGATGCATAAACAAACATTAAGCTTAACATAACAAAGTTTGAAATGAGAAGTATACTACTGACTTTTTTCTCAAGTTTAAAGAAAGTAATTTAGATACCAAAGACATCGTTAAATATATTGTAATTTTTAGTTTCTTTCTTTGAGCTTTGATGTACCGTGTTATACTTGATACAAAATCTTTATTACGATTGGTGGTGTACTTAAAGGCTCTTGCGCAACCAGCATGCTTTGCGAGAATATTTTCAAAACTGGTCTAATTCCGTACTGCATGAAAATGCAAAACACAATCAATTTCTCAAGACAGCTGCCACTAAGCATCCCGGTTTCGCAAGAGACTTTAAGTACACCACCCATCGGTTGCGCAATAAAGTATGCCCAACATAAAGCTCATAATCTTTTGAACCACCTGTGGTCTTTGATTTATAAAACGGTGTCCAATTGCAAAAATTACATTTATTTATAGCAGGAAAATCAGTAACAGAAGCTTACTTCAGTGTTTGTGCAGGGGAATGGATTGTCTTTGCAAAGAGCAAACCAAAGCAGAATATCTGTTTTACTAACATTTTTGTATTTTGAAACATGTTAGCTTTTCCTACACTATAGGTTAAGTTTCAATGAGTTTGAACCAGACGACTGGGCCTTTACTCTTCCTGGTGATAATATTTCATAGAAAAAATTGTATTTGTTGCATGCAACCACCTTTTTCAACAAAATTAATACGAGTTTGTTTTCTGTCAAGGTTACTCTGAAGCATTCGCCAAATTTAGCAAATACCGAATCGATTCACGTGGTATTGGCTATGACTTCGTATCGATAATGCATTATGGGGACAAGGCGTTTACAAAGAATGGACGGCCTACAATCGTAGCAAAGCAGAGTGGAATTTACAGACTAGGAAACACGGAATTAAGTGAACTGGACATCAAGCAAACCAATCTAGTGTACAAATGTGACAGTGAGTAAATATTCAGCATCTAGTTTACGCTATAAATATTCAGGATTCTGCAAATTGTTTTGTACATCTCCGGCCAGTTTGCAAATTATTTGTTTACCAGTCTTTTTTGTGAAATAGAATGAAAACCTGCAAAGACTTGCCAAGGAGTCTCGCTCAAATCTACTAACCATTTTAAAAAACTTAATAACACATTTTTTCTTTATAAGAACTTTATTAGAACACCCAGACTTGATTTGCAAAGGATAAAAACAACTTGAGAACATGCCAAGTATCAGATGGAAAATCAGTGGCAAAAAGCAATGTGTTTTGTTGAAATATTTTCTCATGTTAACAAAACAGAGCAGATATAAGCAACTAGTCGGTCAACCGTGCTAATGAGAAGGTCATGCAAAACTGTTCTTTAGTATTCAAAGAAGCAATCTGTAGTTTGAAGTTTTAATAAAAGTCTTTGTTGTAATTAGAACTAACTTAAGAACAACGGTGTCCAGAAAAATAAGAACATCGAGCATCGTCAAAAACCGCCAGGTTCTTAAAAAACGATTGTAACAACTTAGTAGAAATATGTTATACTGAAAAACGTCTAATGCTTTGTTTTTAGTTGATTGATAGTTTTTGGTTTTCTTTTTACCTGTAGAAATTAATCGTGGATGGACAAGCTGGTCTCACTGGACAACTTGCAGCAAAACTTGTGGTGGCGGAATGCAAAAGAAAACCAGAGTTTGCACAAGTTTGGTAGATGGTGTTCCAAAATGTCCAGGAACAAATATACAAAAAAGAGTGTGTAATTCTCAAAAATGTCCTGGTAATTTGCACAATGATTTCCTATTTGTTTTTAGCTGCTTTGAAGCACCAAGAGCTTCCAGATATCTCATGTTTTATTGCGCTGCAGGGCATTTTACCCCAGGCCTTTATAAAGGCATACTTGCAAGTTATAACGTGAGGAACTGCCTATTTAATTTCTCTAGAGCATTAAAAACAGTCTGTCCCCTCCTTGATTGGCTAATTATAACTTGAAAGCTTCTCGCCTTTAGAAGGTCTTCCTCTGCCTTTTTGGCATCCGATAATAGTTATTGTGGGTGATCACGACAAAAGTGCCAAATCTTAATATCATCGAAACTGACTTAGACGTTTGATACCAACAAAAAATTCACTGAAACTGGCCCAGGGAGAGTATTCTATGGTGGTTTTTCATTCTGATTGGTTACTTTTGCATTAAACCAACGATGCATGAATATCGTGGCCTTGAAAAGAGAATAAAATGCATACTACTTTCATTAAGTGAAAACACCTCTTGGTTGGAAAGTGGTGAATTTTTCTTTTGACATAAACTTGCAAAGACTTGCGTTGGAATAACATGGTTTGCGAAACATAATGCAGATGATGCAGATTGATTGTAAATGCTTGGGTTTCGTCAATCCGGCGTTGCGAAGGCGAAAGCATCAGCGAATATAGGGTTTGAGGAGGCATGTGTTGTATTGTTAAATTGATTGCATTTAGAAAGCACGTGATCCATTTGCATCAAGGGCGGATCGTAAGCATAAAGACAGAAAATGGGTATATCTGTTGCAGGAGGTAGGGGAGGATAAGTGGGTAGGGGGAGGGGTTGTGGGTAGTGGGTAGTGGGTAGTGTCTTGGGCAATTAATCTATAGATAAACAAATTTACTGTAAGTAAACCCTTTTAAAAACAGAGAAACTACTGTTTACATGTGTTTAGGGCTTTAAATTGCAATGTCTTGTTTTTTTTGCTTTTTCCGATATCTTGACACAACCAAATGTCTTGTGTTTATTCTCTTTCAATTACTTTGCAGAGTGGCCTGCTTTTCCGCGAAATTTTAGCTTCCGTGATCATGCAGTGAACGTCGAGAACATGAAATGTGTCCTCATATACGAGCGGGCAGATTACGACGAATGGAGCCATTACTTCTTTTGTAGCGAAGGACAGAGAGACACCGAAATGCGGTGGTCTGATGGTGGGCAGATACTCGGCGGTTGGAAATGCACCAATATCTTTGAACCGCGAGAACCACCAACGAAAAGTTGGTTTGATAACTATCTTTGCGTTCCCAAGAATGCTCCATACAATTTCACGTAAGTTGATATATATTTGAACGAAGCTTCGAGGATCGCAGTATTTCGTTGTAGTTGCAATCTTAAAGCACCACAAAGCAAGAAATTGTTCATTAGGGAGATTTGATAGAAATCTTAGCTATGACAGAACAGCGAGATGTGTTATGTTCCGCAATCAACTCGTTGATTGGTAAAGCATTGAAAGTGGTTTGAAAGTTGTGCTCACGTCTATGATTATTAAGTCCTTTTAGACCGACACAAAGTAAAAATTTTGTAAAAATTCAAGGTCATGGGTCCTGGATACTGTAAAGTCATGCAACTCAGCAGTTGTGTGCCAGTTTTGCAACACTGTGCTGGTGTTGCAAAGTCGTGCTAAAATTCAGTGCTAAATTTGAAGCACAGTGGTACAGTGTTGCTCTGTAAGGCACCACCATAAGGCAGAGCTATTTTTGGAACGCAGAGCCAGTTTTACAACGTGGTACCTTTTTGACAAAGCGCTAGTTTGACTGTGCAAAGCTAGTTTTGAAATGCAACGCTGTAACGCAACCTTTAAAGCGACCTCGCTTATCTTTGGTCTTGCTTGTGAACAGATGAACAGAACTGGATCGTAAAATCACGCGATGAAAGAAATGATTCACAAAACCTGATTAAGCTGAAAATTGATCCAATTCTTAAGATTTCGGCCAGACGTTTGCTTTTTCAATAACGGATAAGTGTTGAAAATTTGTTAATTAAAAAGAATTTTTATGAAGTGATATTGTTATGTAAGGAACTCCCTCAAGTCAAAACATCAACATTGGCGTTATAAGAAATTTTGGTGATTCTTTCATTTCGTCATAACTAAGCTGATAAATGTTAATTTCATTTTGATTTTATGCTAATTAATTAGCTGGATTGGTTGCTGAGTGCTAAAGATTTTCACTCCGTTAATTCATAACTTATTCATAGGATTATAAGTATCTGTCTATTTAATCATTAAGTTTTATCTAATCATGAGGTCTTCACTCCATATGATCTTGGTAATCGCAATTTATCCTGGAATTTAAAGCTGCTAATAGGAACCGATAAGGGAACGTCTAAAAATAGCTGTATGTCTAAATCCACGTCTGGTATTATGAATGAGGGTCTGTTTTGGTTAATATTAGAAATCGCAGAAGAATAACTGGAGTTGTTAAGTCACAAGGACCGCTTTGTTTATTATGGTCGTTTTCTTCTTGAAGATAGACCAAAGCTAACTAAATCAAATTCTTTCTTGTTTTTGTCGGCGAGTTTGGATAATTTTGGCTTGCCCCATATCAGATTGAACGATACTATTTTGCCTGTTTTAGAGCTGCGATCCAGGTTCCATCAACATCCATATCCTTGTCAAACTCCTCTACATGAAATTTGCACAAGTTATCGAATTCTTACAAAGAGCTGCTATCATTTCATGTCACATAGAGCTAGGGTGATTTTCGTTAAGGAAATGTGACTAACCTCGATTCGAAAAGACAACATTTCCAAGAAAACTCTTTGAAGAATTGTTATTTTATTGGCTAAACGCGTAAATCCTTGCCGTTGGGTGATTAAATCCTTGGTCCCTTAGTAACAACGGTTGATTGGCAAGATAAAAAAGTCTTGCAGGGGGCAAAGATATCAGCCATAATGATCTTATTATTAGCTAAGGAGCATCATCGCTGGTATTCTCTCTCAATATTAACTGATACTGAATTTCGGAGATTTACGTGACAAACTTCTAATCTGGTTTTTATGTACTTGTCTTCCTAGTTGTGCAGTCCTGAAAAGCAGAGTCCAAACTACCTTCTTATTCTAATAGATTAAATCCACAATTCTAGGTGGTCCCATAACGGCCCGATACCGGGATTAGGATGTATCCAGTGGTATGCAAAACAAGGAAGGGACGGATGGGATGACAATTATCTTTGTGCAGATGTCGTTGGACAGAAATCCAAAGGTATATGATTACCTTTCTCGATTACATGATAGTTTAATAACTATTCCTTTGTTCTTGTCTCTCTCGTGAACCATGTAAATGTTTTAAACCAGAGAAATGCTTAAATTATAAACGAATTAATGAATATTGATATTTTTATTTTGATAATAAAAGCGCTCTTAATACAGAAACATATTGCAGATGATAAAGCTTTTATTACAGAAACTTCATTCATGTCAGAAATCCTAAAAAATTAAGTGCATGCACATTTGTTCCCTACCTGATTTGGAGATGTTTGGGTGCCTATCAAAGTTTTGCTTTTCAACTCGTCAGTAAAGAATTTGCATTGTAAATTCTTAGTTGTTCTAGTAATGAATGGCTCTAGTAAACTAAATGAGACGAGATAGCTGTGGCTTTATGAAAAGGAAATTTGAATCTTTGAAATGCTAAAGTTGACTGTTTCATCAATTTGTAACAACAGATAGCCTGATTCAAGTTAAAGTTAAAGAAAGAAGATTTTATGAGGCATGTGAACTCGGCAAAATTGATATTACTTCAGGAAAGATTTGTCCGTAAAATAAAGAGAACAAAAGCGATGTGACTGGTTTATTATTATAGATCCCTTATTGGTGAAGATCCAAAGCTATCTCTACATTCTAGCGTTTTCAATACTAAGTTTGATAGCACTTTGGGAAGTTTAGTAAGTCTTGTCACAGGATGTAGTGCGAATTTGATGATCTTAAAAAGGTGCAAAGCTGTAAAACCTGAAGTTTTTATCTCTTGATATAACAAACTCTTACGTTTCAAGGAATGACGTAATGATTAAATTCTGTGGGTCATAATGGCTCCCCAAGGCATGCAAAGATTGGAGCTTGTAGTTAGCAGAAAGCGGAACCCTTTAAGTCTGCATGTATAATTTGTTCTTTTACAATGATTGCTTCTCACTTGACACCACAAACATTGATTTGCATCTTTTCATTTCTGTTAATTGTTATTAATTCATGATTACCCCCGTTTTTATTTCAGATGCCCGTCCAGAGCCAATTGATGGCAACTGGAGTGACTGGGGGCCATGGTCTCTTTGTTCGAAGGAATGCAATGGTGGCAGAAGACGTCGCTATCGGCAATGCAACAACCCAGCTCCGAGGTTTGGAGGAAAGATCTGCAAGGGCAAATATTTTATCGAGTCGATATGTAATCTACAGCCATGCGGTAAGTGTGCTTTGTTACATAAGCATATCCTTCAACCACATTAAGATCAGCTGGGTGTTTTGTGCCCCAGAGAATTTCGTTGGACATTGCCCAAGGCATATTACACAGTTTTATTAACATTGTCCGGACACCCTAAGCGTTTGATAACTGAAGTATGGATTCCACGAATAAAGTCATGCTGAATACTCACAAAACGTATCGATGCTTAAACACGCATCAAGGCTTTAGCTAGTTATTAAGGTAGCCAAAATGATTAAGGTGGGAACTTGACAATAAGTTAAACAAAAGACAAATGCAACGAAGTTATTATATTTGTATTGGATTTGCAATTTAGCTGAATAAGACTTGTCAGCTAAGACTTGTTATATATTTGATTAACACCTTTTAGATAAAAGGTCCCATTTGGAAGCGGTGCTACGTCGTTAAGCCTTTAAATGAAACCAATGGAAACTGCAAATATATTTGGCAACCAATGTTATTATCCGACTAGCGCTATGTTTGTTGGATTTTTATTTCGTCGGTAGGGACAAAATTTGAAGTTACTCCCTGAATATCCGTTTCAGCAACTGCTAAATAGAAACGACGCCGTTTAGCTTAATTCAGTGTCGGTATCAAAATTGGCACACAAAATACTGTTATACCTAGGATTGGAGCTCTCAAAGTGATTCTTTATAGCTGATTCGGTTATCGAGAAACCAGCTACATGATGTTGCTTATCACCAATGCAAGAAGTTAATTATCCTTTATCTATTGCCACATCATTATAGAGAAATGTGGTGGCTTTCTCAAAGGATCAAAGGGAGAATTCACGTCACCAAACTACCCACGTGACTACCCGAACTTGCAAAATTGCACCTGGATAATCAAAGGCGACCCTGGCAAAAGAATCATATTACATTTCGAGTCTTTCAGATTTGAAGGTAAGCTTAGTTTATTAGCTTTTCACATCATTTAGATCCAGGGGGATTTTTTTGCCATTAGTTGGTCAAGGAGCCTCAGCCCTGGCTTAATAAAAAGCCTTGTCAAAAAGGCTGCTTTTCACAAGCGAAAATGATATCTGAATGCTTTAATTATAGATTAGCAAATCCTAATGGCGTCCTCCCACTTTAAAGGCCGATTGATAAGATTCATCGGCAAATGGATTTTATTTGTAACAGGCCCTGTTTCCACTAACCCTGGTGAAATTAATAGTCTATCAAAAGTCATCCTTTTTGCTATGGAAAAGTAAAACACTCATCAATTAGGTATATATTAGCATAATTAAACACAACAAGATATGCTACCGCAGCAAGAGTGCTTTAACTGCCTTTTGGTCAGTTGAGAAAACCCCTCCAGTTGAGAAAATCAGGCCGTTCCAGTGAGCAGCGATTTCACAAACGTCACACCAGTACCACCAATTCCCTCAAGGAGAGATCACCTGTGCCAAAGGGAATTTTGCTCTCATATTTTCTTTGTCTCATATTTTCTTATATCTATATGAAAGCCGGCTGACAGTACCTCATTAAAGGCAAGACAGATGTAACCCCAAGCAAGAGGCGATGAAGTATTTCTATTTCCGTGATTTGTTTAAGTACTTTGTGCTTCATTAACATGGACTAGCTGGTTTGCAATTTTGATTCTGTTTCCGTTGGTGGGCTCACTGGGACGATACACCAAACCTTATCCAGTCAGCCCCCCAAGAAAAAGGACAAGTTTTCCCTTTGACAGCAAGACCAATTACCGGATTTGTTTACAAAATGTCATTAACCAATCACCTGAACTTGATTTTTGACTCCTTAAGTTCATATTTCATACTTGATTTTTGACTCCTTAAGACCTACTTGAAAACATAGCACGTTACCGTGACGTAAGGACATATTAGTGGCCAGACTCCTTTGTTGTAGTGTTGTAAATTCTCTGGGGGCTAAACCCTTCCAACCGCCATCACTCACGCGGCCCCTGGTTATTGGGAAAACTCCCTTTGGCATTGCCGAGTTTTGTACATGCTTGTGGCTTTGATATAGATATAAAGACGATATAAGATAGATAAATTAAGATAAGGTTGTTAACCAATTCTAATAACCTTTCTTTACTTTCTTAATACAAAATTTTAATAACATTTCTTTAAACCTTTATACCAATTTCGATACAATTTACACAATTCGAAACACAGATGGGCAAAATTAACGACCAATGACAACTTACTGAGCCACTGTGACCCAGTTTATTGAACAACTATATCTTAGTCAGCACCAGAGACCACTACCGTTAGTACGGTAGTAGCCACGACCTTAATATGCATAAACATAGGTGGCTTATACTTTCCTTGCCAAAACTCTTAGGAAATCCGTTTTATGTGGGAATGTGAATGAAGCCGTTTTATGTTGAAGAGCATGTGGAAGTAAATGTAGGAAAGCCATTGCGGAAGCTTTTTATAAATTATGGATATTTTTCCTTTTGATAAGCAAAGCAATAAGTGCTCATCAAACAAAGAAAATGTGGCCCTTTGGCATATACCAAAGAGTGTAGAACAAGAAACTTGTAAGCTAAGCTTTGCAACAGAAATGCATAGGATGAGTTTGAAGATTGCATGGAATAGAACGAAATGGTAGCAAGGCTTTAGAAGGTGCATTAGATATTTTGATCAGGTTTCTGTATGTCGAGTTGCAACGGTTAACATAACTCTTAAATACTATGAAATACCATTGCTCTCCTATTACAGGTTCATTTGCAGATCACGTGCGCTGCCAGTTCGATTTCCTGACAATACGACAGGATGGACCACGTGGGAAGAACCTGGGCAAATATTGCGGTAGCAAGAAGCCATCGCCAATCGCATCAGACTCAAACATTTTGTGGATCAATATGATCACAGATAAGATTGACACATTCGCAGGTTTTAGGGCAGGTTGGGAGACGATTGACAGTGCACCAGAAGGTAAGTCATACTATTTGGTTTTTTCTCATAACTGTCTCTTCCTGTTTTTGTTTATAGTTAAAATTCATTTACGTAATTCAGGAATGCGGAGCTGTGGAAAGTACTGGAAGTGAATGTGGTTAGAAAATTAAACAGGTGAATGAATGAACATGATATAAACATGAATTACGTAACTGCTGCAAGTTCAAAATATTTAACCTGTTCTGAATGGATGAGTTCAAATCAAACCAAATCAAATCAAATCAAATCAAATCAAATCAAATCAAATCAAATCAAATCAAATCAAATCAAATCAAATCAAATCAAATCAAATCAAATTCTTTTCATTCAACAACAAATTGTAATAACAGTTTTTAAAGTATACGAATGATAACTAACAATTATAGAGTTTCCTGCGAATAAAAAAGCACCATTTCTAGACGCACTACTCGAGAGATCAGTGGACGGAAGTAAACAGTATGTTCTTAGGAGTTTTTTAGTCCGGTTCATCTACTACCCGAATAAAAATGCGATTCGGCCAAATATGAACATTTGCTCGAGAATCCGGATACACTCAAAAACAAAGAGTAACGACAATTTTAGTATCATTGGGCAGGCAAGGACATATTTCGACTTAAGCGTTTTGCAAAATTTCTAATGAAGATCCTGCTTTGTGTAGACAGAAATTTGTCAACTGTCTTGAACCCTTTAACTTCGAAATATTTCGAATAAATTGCACAACTCTATGTCTTTTTTTGTTTATGTCATTTTATATTCTCTTTTGTTATGTTATTTTAATGCTATGTTATCTTATGTTATGTTATGTTTTGCTATGTTATGTTAAGTTATGTTATGTTATGTTACGTTATGTTATGTTATGTTATGTTATTTTAATGTTATGTTATCTTATGTTCTGCTATGTTTTGCTATGTTATGTTAAGTTATGTTATGTTATGTTACGTTATGTTATGTTATGTTATGTTATGTTATGTTATGTTATGTTATGTTTTGCTTTGTTATGTTAAGTTATGTTGTGTTATGTTATGTTATGTTATGTTATGTTATGTTATGTTATGTTATGTTATGTTATGTTATGTTATGTTATGTTATGTTATGTTATGTTATGATACGCTATATTTCAGCGCGCATTTTTATTTGTAATGTAACTCCTTGCGCATATTTACGGACGCTCTGCTTTACGCTGCTGCTTATGGTGTTCCCTTTAAAATTGACATACAGGTTGCGGTGGCACAATCCGTGGCACTTACGGTGAGATCACATCACCAGGGTTTCCTGGCAAGTATCCACACAAGAAAACTTGTATTTGGAAGATTGAGGTACCAGATGACAAAGCGGTATCTTTTAAGTTCTCTCTTTTTGACGTTGAGCCCCATGTCTTCTGCAAATACGATTATTTGGAGCTGAGAGATGGCTGGAATGAAAGATCGCCACAACTTGGCCGATACTGCACAACAAGGCCCCCATATGGTGAGTGATGACAAATTTTTAGAATTTAACCTTGTTCTATTGATGAATTTTGCAGAATTTGTAGCCGGAATCTCGCGCCATTGATTGTTGTAAGTTACAATGACGATAAGCTCTTTGAGGATATTTTAATATTGTTTTCTTGAAGATGTTATTTAGTATTATGAGAAAATGAGTGTTAGAAATATATCATGATATTATGAGAAATATTGTAAGAAACTATTTTGCGATTGTAAATAAAGTTAAATTGTAAAAAGGTTTCTTAAAAGATTGAAATATATATGAAATATGAACATGGAATATAATAATTCTTTTGAAAAGCCATCAAGAAGGAAAACTCCGTCGGTTAATCTTGAGAGCATGAGCACGTTCTAAGAAGTATCTCTGACAGTTTTCAAAACAGAAAGTAAGGAAAGAAACAGAAAGAAAGCTCAGCTCACAAAGTAGATAGAAAATTGGTCCGAAGCTAGATGTGCTGCTTGGTACCGTGGCCAGGCAGGAAAGTGCCGGGTTCTGTTACTTCTGCCAACTTTTTATTCTCATTTTGACCCTGCCAGGTTTAAAATCAACACAAAATAAGGTGAAGATCAAATTTGTTACGGACGAAACAACAGCTAAGACAGGTTTCAAGCTCACTTGGCAAGCAGCAGATAAAAAGCACACGAAGATTGCTTCTCCTCGTGAGTGGTTTTTATTTCAAAACGTTTATATTTTATCATTATTTTATAGATAGAAATGACATTTTCATGTATTGAGCATTTGTGTTAATAGTCCTAAAGTCTGAACGATATTCTATTTCTTTGATGGAGGAGAAATTCCTCATTTACACCCTGGTTGTTTATTCTTAAATTAAAATGAGTCTGAAACAGCAATACATGGAAAGAAGATTTTGAAAAAGGGGAGAAGACCCTAAGCGAATACCCACCAGTCTTAGTTATTGCTTCTTTCTTGCTGGCAAACTTACGGTTGTTTGTTGTTGGAAACATTTTTATATTAAATATGTAATGATATAAAATTTGTTCTAGGCTGCCCAGTTGGTTGGAAGCTCTTCCCAGACACCCTTGACGGCCCGGCCTGTTATGTTGTGAAGAACAATTATTTCAGCTGGTATGGTGCTCGGGATGATTGTTTGTCGAACTCGGCTGATCTCGTCAGCATAACCTCTCGCGCTGAACAGGAATTTGTTACTAAAGAATTACTAAAAGGAAAATTTATGTGGCTTGGCTTCACTGACAAAGATGACGAAGGGCGATGGGCTTGGAGTGACAAGTAAGTGTCCCTAATTTAAATTTTTAACACGTGTGGTGTGTGCAACATGCATTTTTGTTATAGTATGTGTGTGAAATATATCATGATATTATGAGAAATATTGTAAGAAACTATTTTGCGATTGTAAATAAGCTAAGTTGTAAAATGTTTCTTAAATGAGGGGGAGAGGGGGCATTCTAAAAGTTAGTGCTTTGTTGATTGCAAAATGTAGAAATGGCATTATGGAATTTTGGTGTGGTAAAGTTAATCCTAAAAATTCCAACAAAACAAGAAACAAGGATCTTAACCCATGGTTTTACTTTCAGTACGACACGTCAGACATTCACGAACTGGGATGGCGGCGATCCAAATGACGGGGGGTGGCTGCATAATGAGGATTGTGCTCTGATGAAACCAGACGGGAAGTGGAACGACTACCCTTGTAGCGATCAATACAAATATATCTGTAAAAGAAAGCCATTCAAGTGAGTTATGGTTGTCTTACATTCCTAAACCTTATCTGAAATCTTTGCCTTTAGTTGATTTTAAGTCAGGTGTATAAGGTATATATCAATGTGTATATGGCGTAAAGATACCGCGGAAGGCTAGAAACATCCTTTACAAAGTGTTTCATGCGATGTATAAGCAGACATCGATATCCAGAATTCTCGCGTTGTATAAATGCGACAAAATAAGACAAAATCGTTAAAGAATGTCAAAGCACAATGCCATTTAAAGGCAATCCATCTCGTTCTGGATTGGTTAACGAGAACAATAGCTGGAACAATAGCCTAAACACGATTCCAGCGCTCCGCCATATATTTATCAATGCGATAAATTAAAAGGGGACTGGAAACAATAAAAAATCCCTTTGTTCTTATAATCAATCAACGTCGTGACAGATTGCCTTTAAAGTGATCGATTCAAGGCAGCTAGCTAGGCCATAAAATGTTCGTTTGGAACTGATGTAATCATGCGTTCTACTTTTTTTATTTTTGTCATATTGAGAAAAAGTTTTTTGAACTTTCTCCAGATAGATGATGTTTGCAGAAATGAATGAGCCGCTCTGGTAGCATTTGAAAGATTTGCTCTGGTTAGATTTCGTGTTTCCATTCCATATGTAAACGCTGAAGAGAACATTCTTATTAAGCATAGAGATGGTGATAGCTCTGTTGGACCAAATCGGGAACAATTATAGAAGAAACGGATGTAATCGTGTTTCTCATATATTAAATACGGGCTTAATAATGACAGTCTCTTCCTAGTATTATGGTATTTCTTCACCTACAAAAGCTACCGTCAGACGAATACATTTGAAGCCAACGTTTTCCATCATGATCCAACATAATAATAATGATCAATATCATAATCGTAATAATAATAATAATAATAATCATGACCACGAAATCAAATATACGTAGCGGCCTTGGAGTTTATGGTGAATGGAACTGTGTCGGTTCAAATGTATACGTTCACGCCAAGTTAATGTCTGCATGAAATATGTCAATCTGCAAAGAGCTTATCGTCGGAAAAGCTCACTTGGAAAGTCTGTTGCATTCATTTACGAAGGGATATCGTCGTTATTTAAGTTTATTACAATGTTCTTAAAGACTTTTCTGATCAGTTTTTGGTATGACGGATTCCTCGTGTACGATTGTCGCTATCTGTCTCGTGTGTATATAATTAATCAGTTCTTCAATTTGAATCTCTTTACTCATTACATTTTCACAGCCACTTTACACAGCTATTCTTCTCTGTCCCATGTTGTTATTTGCCCTCTGTTTTACTTTTTCAATATCGTAGCTATCGTAATTTTAAACCTTTTTTCTTATATTTTTGATTTAGCATTTATGCGTCATGTATTTTATTGCAATAGCGAGATTAGCATGCGGCCGCCCCAGCCATTTCGTCACTATTTAGTACCAAAAGAACCCCCCTCCCCCCAAATTGCCGTTATCCAGTAACCACATGTCTCCAGTGTCCCACTGCTCCTCTACAGCGGCTCTTCACGAAAGGGAGATTTTCTTGCGCATGCAACTGCTTCGTATCGTGTCAGCTCTTAAAGAGATTTGCAGAGCTTTATTTTTGTTTGCCCAATTTTATCATAAGAAGCTCAAGGGGTATACAACTTGAAATCGTTGGTTAGAGTTAGGAGTATATATTAAATGTATGCAAAAGTTGCCATGTAGATTTAAGACACATGTATATTATTATTGAAACAATTATTATAACGGTATATTTGTGATATCTTGTTCAGCATCTTATTTTGACCTCGGTTCCAGCCTGGATACGGCTACGCCATTACCGGGAACATATGTAGTAGACTTTTAGATTGCCAGAGGCCAAAAAACGAGTTAAAATACAATACAGAAACGTTAATACTGCTGAATCTGCGTTTTCTTTAAGATGATGAGAGGATTTTTCGATGACAATGATATTGAGTTTGAGAACTGCGAAATACAAAAAACCTCGATATGAGCGGATAAATCCTCGATATGAGCGGAATGGCCAGTGAGGTATATTGAGGACTCCATTCATAAAAAAAGAATCTTTCTCAATTTTGATATTCATTGTTTATAGCATATCACACTGGTTTATATACATATTTATGTGCATTTGTGATAAATAATTAGAGAATTTCCATACAAGAGACTGTGGGCCTCCCATTCCTTACCATTACCAAAGAATGGGTGGTGTACACAGCCATCCATTTAAAATAACAAACAAAATGCAATTTATTAGATGCTTCAAATTATTAAGTTTCTACTTCACTGAGTGGCTTGAGATCTTTGCTCGATAAAAGGTCAAAATTTTGTGGGTTTTCCATTCAGTAATTCGTCCTTTATAAAATTCAATATCAAGGGAAACAAGGGCAAAATAGACTAGTGACGGCATATACATTATAAGGTTAATTCATTTACATAAGGAGAGCCGTATTCATTTAGCCGTTTTCGTGGGAAATACGTCGTTTTGATCAAAGGTGTAAGGGGCGTGGGAACGGGAGTGTTCTTTAAGAATGGGTGGGAATTGAGGAGCAAAGTTGGTGAAACTGCACTCATACTGCACTCATACGGCGAATCATACTGCACTCAAGCCGGGAACTGGAGAAAACAATTTATGATACCCCCAAAATATATAGCTGTTGCTTTAGGAAAATCGTCATTTTAACAGGGATGCCAGTTATCTACCGTAAACGAATATTAAACAAATTAAAACTTTGGCTTAATACAATTTCTTCCGTTACTGAACACAATAAAACGCCATTCTAACATAATCTACTGACCTATAAGGAAAATAAAAACATTTAAACAACAATGAATTGGGAATGGGTGGTACTAAACAATCAGAGACCTTTGAAAGAATCTCACTTTGAAAGAATCGTACGCCAGTGATAATTGATTGATCTGATAACAGGTTTAATCGCAACGAGTAACCAATTAACGCAAGATCATCGTAAAAATACTTTCCTAAAATGAAATTTCTTTACATGTAATATACAAAAAAAATATTTTGAAAATTTAACCCAAATAAGCATATATTTGATACGTCCATGAAGCACAAATTATCCAATTTTGCTTTTAAATAAATATGACAATCTAATATCAAACTACATGTATTGCATTTAATTCAATTAAAATATCACGGGTCTCCAAATTCATTAAAACTTTTAACCAGATGCCTAATGGCAAGATTTTCAGGAAGAAAGAAATTCAAGTCCGCTAATTTCTCGAGCTCAGCAAGAACTTCGTCGAAGCCTGATAGGAGAAAACAGTACACCAGTTATTCAGAGCAAAGAATAAAGTATTAGTTACAATAAAGTTCAATTGTCTTTATATAGTCAAGCCTGCAGCAGCAACGGACACCTCACATGACGGACACCTCGTATAACGGACACCTCGTATAACGGACACCCCTTATAACGGACACCTCCTGTAACGGACATCTCATATAATGGACACCTCATATAACAGACACCCCGTATAACGGACACCTCGTATATCGACACCTCATATAACGGACACCTAATATAACGGACACCTCGTATAACGGACACCTCATGTAACGGACATCTCATATAACGGAAACCTAAAAACAGCTGACAAACAGATTTCTCCAAAAATTTCGATCATGCGGTCAAAACTATACACAAGTAACCTCCAGTTGGAAAAATCATTATTGGTTTTTCACAGTTAGGTTATAATGATCATAGTAGAACATGATAAAGGCAACAAACCGAAATGCCAAAGCTCAGAAGATACAGATCAAAAAGGATGCATACGACTGTGGCTTTTCAAACCTTAATAACATACCACATCTTTAACAGAAGGAAAGTGCCGTAAATAAAGTTTTGATTTTAATTAGATAAATCGGTTACCGTTTCATTATACCTGCTATAGCAGTTTTGCCACTAACACCCCCGTCCGTTTTATAAAACATTAACTTAACAGGAGACATGCTTAATTAACAGATAAAAAGTCAATTGGCGGGGCTGTTCATTGCGGAAAAGCGAGATCTCTAGAAAAACCCCGTTTTCAGTTTAAGTATAAGAGGCTGCTAACGAATACATCATTAATATGAAAAAGGCAGAACATAAGAAAAGCGAAAACAAACCTGTTCGTGCAACGAACGACCATCTCTCGTAATGTTTATCGACCATCTCTGGACATCGCAGGACCAGCCTGACCCATAGCAGTAATTTCTGCCGATTCAGCCCAGCGCAAATCAACGCACGAAACATCGAATCGTAACTTCTCTTACGAGGCTCATGCGAACTTTTGATCTGGTGCAACGCGATTAAAAGTGACTGGAAGTGAAAACAATAAGAGTAAATTTGCGGCTAAATCGTAAATATTCCAAAGCTGCATTTTCGGTCCACAAATGAAGCATCAAAGCAGTAATAGTGTAAACAGGAGAGTTGGCCGTTACAGTTTTGTCACTGTTTCAAACTTGCACGGGACAGTGTAAACAGGGTCTAAATTAAAAAGCTACAGAATTAAGATGAAATTCTTCGGATACACGTACCATAACACCTTCACACCTTTAAGATTTTAAAACTGCTTGAACAAAGAATAAAAGCATCGATAATGCGCATACCTGTCTCGGCGTTTCCTGAGTGCCGCCCAAGTCGATGCCAAATGATTCTGAGAGCTTGACATTCGGCTGGTCGTTGAAGTTGTTCCCATGCTAAGGGATACACAGAGGTAAAATACTTGTAAGATCACTTTGACAGGCTGGTATGTATTATACCTGATCAGCATAACCGTACATTAGCCATTTCATATTCAATTGCAAAATATATATGCTAATTATTCTAATACTCTACGCATACAGCGAGAATCTTTACCTTCATTTTGTAGAAATTCGAGAAGAGTTCCCAGGCATGCATTGTTCCAACCCTCGCCGATTTGTCAGAAATGCAGCCAAGCAGTGACTTTGTGGACAACACCGAGTGCTCAATCGTCTGTAAAATGGAAGTACAGAATCACACAGAAATAAAGGACAGTTCTTATTTAGAAAAGGGGAATTCGTAAGAATCAAATAAATTAAAATTGCAGAACTGTGGAATGTTGAAATATGGAGCTTCCCATTTGTGAGGATTGAAAGAAAGAGCAAACTGTAAAAAAAGCTTACACGAACAGGAAACGAAACATATTTAAAGAAAGAATGGAGTAACAAAAGGAGTGAGAAAAGAAGTAAGTAGGGAATAAACAATGGGGCAGCAATGAGATAAAAAAAAGAAGAAGAAAAGAACTAGCGACAGCTTAAATTAATGAAAAAGTGACAAAGAGAAAGGCAAAAAAAAATGAAAGAAGGAAAATAAAAAAGGATACAAGAAAGGAGAAAACGAGCATGGAAACAGGAAAAAAATCGTTAAAAGCGATTATAAACAATAACTAGCCAAGGAAAAGAGGATTGCTCTCTAGAAAGGCAGTACTATTTTCAACATCGGCTATCATGGACGCCGGACAATTTGGCGTCTGGTGGCACGGAGCCGGACAATCTGGTGCCATTAAGTGCTCCATGTTAATTCCTGGTCACCCATAAAGTCATCAATGTCAAAGTTCCAATTCAAATAACGTTATTAAGGCTTTTAATGCTATATAGCTAAAAAATATGGTGTCAAGTCAGGTAGAAAATATCATAAATTGCTCGATTTTTGTGTGGAAGGTGTTTCACTGAAGGAGAGTCAGGTCCACGGCTGAAGCCTTACAGTTTACCAAGTGTCAACTACGCTAGTCCAAATACAATTGGAAATCAGGCATTGGAACTCAGGGAGACCTGCCCAGCCCCTACATTCTTTTGCAATATTGGATTTCAATACCTATATTCAACATATAGGTTCTCACGTTTGATTATTTACCTTGTAAAGCATAACGATTAGATATCAAGATTAAAAAACAAAACATACCCTGCACAAACCATGCTGAAGTAAGTCTCGCAGCGAAGGAGCAAGTTCTCCCCTGACTATCGCGACTAGCTCTTCTTTCAATCCAACATCCAGCTAAAAATTGGTATTAGAAGTTAATAAAAAAAAATATCAATATCATCCGGCTGATTCCTAAATGACTTGGCTGATTTCGGGTTGACTTTCTATACTGGCACGATTATTTTGTGATCCAAAGCTAGCAGTACATCTCAAACAATTTGCCCCAACCTATATGCGATTGCAAATATACCACTATGTAACTTAGTATGTTGAAGGGAAACCAATGGATCACCATCTATAAATCTATAATTGGAACCTATCACACGTCCTACCTCGCAGGTGTAATGTTGCTACTAAAAGACATCAAGTTACACTAGCCTTATATCAAATATTGCATCCATTCACTCAAATACCCTTAAGACGAATATTTTAGTAAGTTTAGAGCAGTGTCATTTCCCTAGGTGATGTTTGTGAGCAAAATTTCATTAGTTGGCAAGCTGATTGGTTTAGACAATGGTGATCTAATGAAACAATGATTTGCAATCTTTTCGTGGTACAGAACTTAAAAGTGACTTTGAAAAAAGAAAACATTTTAGTAAATTAAAGCTTTTCGTCTGACACTTTTCAGAGTTTAAAAAGTCAGAACATAGATCGAAAACTCTACGCTAGGGTACCCGGTTGTGGCGGTCATTGTAGCGAGGACAAATATCCTTTTGCCAAGGAAGTTTTTTTGTAAATGATTTGAAGAAGTAATAGGAACACCATGTTATAACAATGATGTAATAAATACACAACATGAAGGACACCGGTTGTGGATCGAAATATATATACCCGGTTGTGGATCGAAATAGGCCAATCAGAAACACGAGCACATGACTCTCGAGGTTGACCAATCAGTGCCGCTTGCCTATTAACAATGTTACCAATGGAGTCCTAAGGTGAAAACGAACTCTTTCTGTCTAGGTAGATACTATTCATTTTTATGTATATAGATTCCAGCACTGCTAAATGGACCGACGATCGGGCTCTACCAATAATCCGAAACATGTCGCTATTATAGTTTTGTGCACAATCTGGGCTTTCAAGTGAATGCTGCCCGAAATAATGATTTAATCTTTAAAAGGATAAAATAGCAAAAGTTAGAAACGTTCACTTTTACTGGCTGGCAAGGAATGTAACATCAAGTAATTAATACTAACCTGGTCATCGTCAATGGAAGACTGAGTGTGTATAGAAACAACTGAGGTAGCACGACTCCTCATTGCAGTCGATGAGGAGGACATTCTGCTTCTAGGCCAAACCTTTCCGTTGGCAGGACGTGGTAACTCGTCATCAGAGTCGGGAAAAAGCAACCCTAAATCTTTCAGCTGCTCGTGTATCGATACGATTCGGCTGACGGCAGCTTTAAGTGTATTCAAAGGTTTTCTGAAAGGTTAAATGAAAAAGAAGTTTCAGAATTATGAATTAGGCTTCTCAGTATATTTCAAAAATGAATTTTTAGAATTACGAATTCACTGATATACTGAGGCTTCTCAGTATATTAGAAAATAGTTCTTGGGGTGAATGAGAGAGTTAAGAGGCATTAGAACAAAGAAATTTTGAAAGTAGAAAAGGCCTAAGCTAAGAGAAGTAGAAAAGGCCTAATCGTGATATTTATGATCACATACTGGTAACCAGCTGAGGCCGCCGTTGCAGCAGCCTTTCGCATCATGTGTTCTTCAAAGTGTTTAGCACTGCATCCAAATTGACTGGGGAAATTGAAAAAAAGACGTGAAATGAGAACAGGCAATTTTATGAAGGTAAAAATTTAAAATGGCTTTGAACAACGCTAACATACTAAAGCTAATCACCTATAACCTTTTGTGATATAAAACCTCAGAATATTGGTCGAAAACTCTTAGCTAGGAAATATCTATACTCCGTTGTGGATCGAAATATGGCAATCAGAAATGCAAGCACACGACTGTGGATCTGAAATATTTGTTTTTTTCAAAGGAATTTTGAAATAAAAAAAGGCCTTAGTGGATGTTTTAGTTAAATCTATAAATTAACAGCAATGTAGAATTCAAAAGAACTCTTTGACGAAACATTTAGACAACATATAAAAAGATAATGTACAATCAAGTTTATCAATTGCTGGATTCAGGCTCCATAACCTTTACAACAGTCTCTCAGTTAAAGCCTTACGGTTGAAACACAAATTAGCAAAAACAATTTAATCGGAACAAATAGAAAGAAGATGGCATCAAAACGAACCTGATTGCAAATATTTGTAAGACGGCAAGTGTTTTTCTTATCACCGCCATACTTGCTTCGTGCAACCTCTGAAAAGAGAAATCGAAATTCAGTTTCCAAGTCTACTGGAACAACAAAGTGATACTTTCCTTACACACTTCAATTAACGAAATCCCTGTTGGTTTCCAACCCTCTCTTCACATTGTCGATAGGAATGAACTTTAATGTATCAGTTAAGGAACAAGGTAACTTTGGGGTTGATTCTGACAAAAATACTGGACTTCAAAACTGAACTTTAGAATATGAAGCTTCAAAGGAGATCAAAGAAGAAATTTAAACATTGCTAAAATTCTGTCACAAGTAAAGATAAATGGAAAAAACGACTGTTACTCCGTGAATACTTTTTTTCAAAAAAGACTCTTTTCACGACCTGCTCCGTATCTCTATTCAAAAAACTATTCAACTTCATAAAGACATCGTGGTAGCAAATTAACGAGATTTCCAGTCCTTTTTTAAGGGAGGCTTCAATTTAATCGCTATTACTATTTCAATACTCTGACGCAAAACAATACGATTCAAGAACAGCAGGGACAACAACTATAAACAAATAATACAAAACATCAATGAATGAAACAGTTTAAGAAAAAAATTGTAAATTGTGAATGAAAATTGTAATACCTTTCTCTTTTCCTCTGAGATTTCCATAAATCGAATATGGGGGGCAGGTATGCCTGAGCTGTTTTCTTGCTTTCTCATTGTACTTGGACTTGCAGAGTGAGCATTTGGATAACTGTAAGCCTTTACACGGGCACTTGACTCTCTTTCTGACTATAATTGAGCAAATGAATGTGAAAAATCATTGGAACAAGATGTATTAGAAGAAAATTGACTATCAGGTGTTTTTTCAGGTTTTTATATCGATATGTATATCAGATATTTGAAAAATCTAAGGAATAAATATCTGTGATATACTTACATTCTTGTAATCTTTTTCTACCTTTTCTTTGTCACTTTCAATAGTCAATTGTTGGTTATCTTTTTAAAATAAAAACAAAACACAATACATCAAAATTTGCCAATGTATAAGGTTAAAATACTTTATGTAAATATAAAAACTATTATACAAGAGACCAATCGTTCTTTTATCAAACTAACATGGTCTAACATCACTCTCTTTTTTAACAAAGCCTAATTCATATCAGCATAGAATAAGTCAATTATTCAACTGTCGCAGGCCAGATAAAGTTGTATGTGGCTCTTCCCCTGCTTTCAATGTTTCTCAAAATTTCATGATTAATTCGTACAAATAAAAAAGAAGGGAATTAGCAGCTCTTACAAGACTATGAAACTGCAAGACTATTACAGTCTTGAAAAACTCTTACAGTCTTAAAAAACTCTTACAGTCCTGCAAAACTCTTACAGCCCTGCAAAACTCTTACAGTCCCGCAAAACTTTTACAGTCCCGCAAAACTTTTACAGTCCTGCAAAACTCTTACAGTCCTGCAAAACTCTTACAGTCCTACAAAACTCTTACAGTACTGCAAAACTCTTACAGCCCTGCAAAACTCTTACAGCCCTGCAAAACTCTTACAGTCCTACAAAACTCTTACAGTCCTACAAAACATTTACTGTCCTACAAAACTCTTACAGTCCTGCAAAACTCTTACAGCCCTTCAAAACTCTTACAGTACTGCAAAACTCTTACAGTACTGCAAAACTCTTACAGTACTGCAAAACTCTTACAGTCCTTCAAAACTCTTACAGTCCTGCAAAACTCTTACAGTCCTTCAAAACTCTTACAGTACTGCAAAACTCTTACAGTACTGCAAAACTCTTACAGTCCTTCAAAACTCTTACAGTCCTGCAAAACTCTTACAGTCCTGCAAAACTCTTACAGCCCTGCAAAACTCTTACAGTCTTGAAAAACTCTTACAGTCCTGCAAAACTCTTACAGTACTGCAAAACTCTTACAGTCCTGCAAAACTCTTACAGTCCTGCAAAACTCTTACAGTCTTGAAAAACTCTTACAGTCCTGCAAAACTCTTACAGTACTGCAAAACTCTTACAGTACTGCAAAACTCTTACAGTCCTGCAAAACACTTACTGTCCTGCAAAACTCTTACAGTCCTGCAAAACTCTTACAGTCCTGCAAAACTCTTACAGTCCTGCAAAACTCTTACAGTCCTGCAAAACTCTTACAGTCCTGCAAAACTCTTACAGTCCTGCAAAACTCTTACAGTCCTGCAAAACTCTTACAGTCCTGCAAAACTCTTACAATCTTGAAAAACTCTTACTGTCCTGCAAAACTCTTACAGTCCTGCAAAACTCTTACAGTCCTGCAAAACTCTTACAGTCCTGCAAAACTCTTACAGTCCTGCAAAACTCTTACAGTCCTGCAAAACTCTTACAGTCCTGCAAAACTCTTACAGTCTTGAAAAACTCTTACAGTCCTGCAAAACTCTTACAGTACTGCAAAACTCTTACAGTCCTGCAAAACTCTTACTGTCCTGCAAAACACTTACAGTACTGCAAAACTCTTACAGTCCTGCAAAACTCTTACAGTCCTGCAAAACTCTTACAGTCTTGAAAAACTCTTACAGTCCTGCAAAACTCTTACAGTACTGCAAAACTCTTACAGTCCTGCAAAACTCTTACAGTCCTGCAAAACTCTTACAGCCCTGCAAAACTCTTACAGTCCTGCAAAACTCTTACAGTCTGGCAAAACTCTTACTGTTCTGCAAAACTCTTACTGTCCTGCAAAACTCTTACAGTCCCGCAAAACTCTTACTGTCCTGCAAAACTCTTACTGTCCTGCCAAACTCTTACAGTCCTGCAAAACTATTACAGTATTGCAAAACTCTTACAGTCCTGCAAAACACTTACAGTCCTGCAAAACACTTACAGTCCTGCAAAACTCTTACAGTCCCGCAAAACTCTTACAGTACTGCAAAACTCTTACAGTACTGCAAAACTCTTACAGTCCTGCAAAACTTTTACTGTCCTACAAAACTCTTACAGTCCTGCAAAACTCTTACAGTCCTGCAAAACTCTTACAGTCCTGCAAAACTTTTACTGTCCTGCAAAACTCTGACAGTCCTGCAAAACTTATGCTACAACTATATCCATGCATTTTTACCTTTTAAGAATTCGACGAAATTTTCCATATCTTTGATCTGAGTCGACAGCTGGGTGATGAGCTGCTCCTATAACAGGCAAGAAAAACCGGCATGCATAATAGATAATTTCCGTGTTATAATTGGACAGACTATGCAAAACTACTTTCGGACGAAGCAAACGTACCAATTCATCATGGGTGCTTTGTCTAAAAAATCTAAATCCAGCTTAAAAGGATTGGAGCAAATCACTGATGAAAACAGCATTGATCAAATATTTATCAAAAGTCGAGATAAGTACAGTGCTGTTCCTGGTTTGATCAAACAAGCTTGAAAAAAGATTAATTCTGATTGCTTAAATTCAATTGACGATTTTATTTCTGCACTTTTTATTGCAATAAGCTATCTGTATTAAAATTTTAAAAACATCATTTTGCAAAAGGACTAAGAATATCTACGTTCAATACATCTCCCACAATAAATGAGCTCAGTTTGCTAGCAGTACGGTATCTATCATTAATGCCTCTATATACCTATCGCCTTGCATGCAGGCCTAAGGAGAGCATTTCTGGCGCCTGGGACCTGTGATGACGTCATTAAAACTGTGTTATTACTGCGTTGGATTCGTTAGAAGTGTTATAACTTCTTAGATCGAGACCTGGACAATCTTGGAGTCTCGCCTACAAGCATCCTTATCAACAGTTGGTTAAAATAAATTTTATATAGAAAGTAATTACAAAAATTCACCTTTGCTTTTCCAGGATTCACAAGCTGAAAAATAAATTGCATTTATTTATACTAGGACCTCAGTAAGAATCTTAAAGGTTGCTAGGCTTAAGTTTGTCCTATAATGCTGATAAAGTTGCATGTAACGTAATAACGCATGAATATTGCCAAATCAAGTCTTGAGACATTTGTTTCTCATTTGATCCATTTTTGACGTAAGAGAAGGGTATTCAAGTTACCCTTTAGGGGCATTCAAGCTATCCTATTAGGGTTTTCAAGTTACCATTTTGGGGCTAGAGGTTAACCAAAATGTGAACAAACAACATAAATAAAATGAAGATTTATCTTTAAAAACAGTTTGGCGTATATTTTGTTTTTCAAATTTATTGATGTTTTCGCTTTAAAATATAAAAAATGAGAGAACGGTGTCAAAAATAAATAAATAAAATAAAATAAAATGAATAAAACAAAATAAAATAAAATTTAAAACTAGATTCATTTCTACGCAAAAAACATCTTTCGTGTTGAGGTTTGCACAGCAGCCAGTGTATCCCAACATTAAACTTAAAAATTTGCTCTTCTTGAAACAAATAAAAATGAAAATAACAAAACAACAGTCACCAAACTTCAAAATGAGATACAAGTATTGTTAAAACTAACCCTCCCCCCTTTCTTGAAGATATTCAGCAGATATAAAACGAGTTAAGGCCACCTCTATAAATAGGTACCAGCCAGTAATGACACTTGCAGCTCCAAAGCAAATTCATTGAAATTTGGATAAATTTTAAAATAACAGGGCTTATGTTCGTCAAGTTATTGTCGCATCTAGAGTAAAGTTATTGTCGAGTATACGGCATAATATCAGTCCTTATACAGCAGAAACAATTTACAAGGTGACAATTTTACAAATTCTGCTTTATAGTAACAATGTGTTCCTTCACATTGCACTATCAAAAAAGACTTTTTTGAGATCTTTCAAAAGACGGGCACAGAAAGTAATAAATGGCAACAGGGACACTTCAACTTTAAGATTTAAGACTTTTTGTAAAAATTTTAACTTTGACTTTTAAGATTTAATTTTCATCATGTATATAATTTTCATTTCGATAATCCATGTATATTTTAGACAGGTCCTTTATTGATAACAGCACGTTGTTGCTGACCAAAGTTAACCTGTATAAATATGATATTATTATTATTATTATTATTATTATTATTGCACACAGCAATGATGAGCCATTTAATAAATAAAGCTCGCATTAAGCAACGATCTTTAGTGGTATCTTTGCTGGATCTTAAAAACGCCTTTGGCGAAGTTCACCACAAGCTGATACCAGCTATTCTTGCTTATCATCATATACCTTCGGAAATTCAATCATTGATCTCAAGCTTATATCTAGATTTTAAGACCTGTATCATAACTGATAAATTCCAAACCCCTGCAATTCCCGTTCGCCGCGGCGTATTGCAAGGTGACTGCCTCAGCCCCCTTCTTTTCAACCTTTGCTTCAACACGTTCATACAATACATCAAATCAGATAAATATAAGCAGCTTGGTTTCTCCCCCCATGATGGTAATGACCGCATGTTTCAGCCAGTACACTGGTTTCAGTTTGCTGATGATGCTGCTGTTGTTACCAGTGGAGAAAAGGAGAACCAACTCTTATTAAACTGCTTTACCAGATGGTGCCAATGGGCAAACTTCATTGTCAGGGTTGACAAATGTGTTACCTTTGGTGTCAAGAAACACTCTACGCGATCCCTCCAATTTCAACCGAAACTTTTCATCTGTAACCAAATAGTGCCTGCTGTCAAAAATGGCGATTCCTTTAAGTATCTTGGTCGTTTCTTTGATTTTGAAATGAGTAACCAAGATCATAAATCTAAACTCGTTTCTCTTTTCTCTACTCTTATGAAGGATATTGACGACTTACCTCTCCATCCTAAAAACAAACTGCTATTATACCATCGTTATATTCTGTCAAAAGTTTCATGGCATTTTACTGTTGCAGATCTACCAAAGACCTGGGTTGTCCAAAACCTAGACAATCTTGTTTCCAATTACATTCGCCAGTGGCTTGATCTTCCTGTTTCTGCAACATTGAGTGGAATAATCCTCTCAAAAAATCAGTTTGGCCTAAATCTACAACTGCCTTCTATCAAATTTACGCAATGCCAAACTGTCTGTCGCAATGCCCTAAAATCTTCTCCTAATATTGACATTCAAACCCTATGGAAAAACACCAGTCATGGCACGAACCTACAGTACGACATCTATCGTAATACTAAAGAGGTATTAAAGGCTGTCAAATCAGACAACAAAGAACGTCTCTCCCAAAACTTAACATCTCAGGGAGCCACAATTACCTTCCTACTGAAACATTCACTGGAAAAGCTGAACGGTATTTGGTCAAGTACACAAAGCAATTTGCCTAGTAACATCTTTAACTTTACCATCAAGTACCTTAACAACACTCTTCCAACTCGTAAAAATCTGCTGAAATGGAACCTTAGTCAAACATCTGACTGTGAATTCTGTCTTCTTCCAGAAACACTTCTACACGTTGTTGCTGGATGCAAAGTGTACCTTGACCAAGGACGCTATACTTGGCGTCATAATTCTGCATTAAACTTTCTAGCCACTTCCTTCCAAGCAATAAATGGGTCTTCTCTCTACGCAGATTTACCAGGCTTTCTTTCCCCTTCTATCATAACTGGAGATCAACTACGCCCTGACTTACTTCTCAAAACTAAGGAAAACTGTCTGTACGTTTTAGAGCTAACCATAGGCTTTGAAACAAATCTCAACTGCAATGCTGTCAGAAAGTCAGGGAAATATGCCACCCTCGTATCTGACTTAAAACGTCAGTTTAAGTCAGTCTCGTTTGTCAATCTTTCCATCAGTTCACTTGGTATTTTTGGCGACTCCTGCAGCTCATTCATCGACATGTGTGACTCTTTGTCCATTGATCATCAACAGAAACGCTACCTCATCTCCAAACTTACAAGCATCTCCATTCGCACCACATACTATATATTCTGCTGTAGAAACAAAACTTGGACTAATCCAGAGCTACACCCCTTTTAACAATTTTTTTTTTCTCATTACTACGATGTAATAGTTTTTATTTTGTAAACACAGGCTAGCCAGTTACAAATTACCTTGTAATAGTGAGATTTGTAATTGTAGTTTTAACAGGAATTCAAAATGAAAAGTTTCCATTGTAAAAACAGGCTAGCCAGTTACAAATTATCTTGTAATAGTGAGATTTGTAATTGTAGTTTTAACTGGAATTCAAAATGAAAAGTTTCCATTATTATCATTATTATTATCATTATCATTATCATTAACATTATCATTATTATTATCATTATCATTATTATTATCATTATCATTATCATTATCATTATCATTATCATTATCATTATCATTATTATTAATTCTCTTCAATGTTTAACGATTTATATTGTTAACATATCAATGGTTGACGCCCTGTCAATGGTTTTTTCACACAGAGATAGGACAATATTCTAGCTGCATGGGGATAACACCCTAGCTATATGTATTTTTGTCAGTTGACTTTGTAGTCTGAGTTTCCTTATAGTCTTTCCGAAAATAGAGTGGAGCGAAATCACAATACTTCTCTGTCCCGCAATTAGAAAATCAACTTAATATCGAATATTCATTCCCTCCATTGTTAGAAATTACTCGTTAATTGATTAACGTCAACTGTTTCCCTCAAATCCGCTTCAGGATGGGTCGTTAAAACTTGTTCATGATGTCGAGACAGATATCTTTAGGATTTGAGAGACAAATCCTACACATTTAATACTTACGACAGGATGGGCTGTTGCCTTTGACATAAACCCTGTCACATTTCTAGCTTAACTAATTGAAATATTTTTACCATGGTTGACCCTTAGTAGAGTGGGTGGGCTGGTTTCTGCAATAATGTCAAATTGAGATCTCTAGTGCATCGAATTTCCCAACCCAGTTTGATGCAACCTTAAAATATCTTAAACATATAATGCCTATTTTTGAGCAGGAACACTTTAATATTGATTTTACTAAAATGACCGTGTCCAAACACCTAACCGAAAGCAGATTTTAGTGCAAAATTCCTTAAAAAAATACACTCTTTTTTATCACAACAATTTTATAAGAATACAAGCCTCAACATTGGCAAAAATTAAAAACAAATTGAGAACAATCCAGCCTCAGATTTTCGAAAAAATTAAGAACAGTCTGCCTGAACTTAAATTTACTGGTTCTTATTAAAAAGAGTGTAACCAGTTTTTGTGAAGGTTATGTGTATTATCATTTCATATAAAATAATGGTAACATTATTTGCTTTATGCCTAGCAAGCCTTGACCCTGAATTTGACGATTTTTACAAGAAACTCAGCATTGAGATTTTCCGGGCAGTTATAAACCCTTATTCTATGACAGAAAAAAATCTGTAATTTTCTATGACAGCAAGAAAATGTTTAATATTTGAACTTGTTTGAAATAGTGGTACATTCTAATACCACCATTTAATGATAATTCATCCATGTTTGCCATTAAAAGGCAATCAATTGTACCCTATTTTTGTCAACATGAATATTATAATTTTATGAGAAATTTTTGGCAATGTGAAGATAAAAATTGACCGTGACTGATAATCTTGAGACTGTGTTCTTTTAAAGCTGTTTTTTAATAAAAAGAGTTTACTGCAAAATCGCAAAGGCAGAAATTTCCTACAATGTTACGATTATCTGCCGACAAAAATCTCTGTCTTTTGTGTAACCAATTGGTCCTTCAGAAATTAAGAAATTTGAAGTGTTAGTGTTGAGCGAGAATTTCTAAGTTTCAATTTTGATCAGTAATATTTTAGAAGAAAATCCATTAAATACCTTTGCCATTGCCTTGTCGATCTGGTTTTTCATTTCTTCTGGGCTAAAGAAAAAAGAAAGCAATAAAAATAACTTAAATAAAAACAAGAAAACATTGGTCTCCCGTGCGGGGAATCGAACCCCGGCCACGGCGGTGAAAACGCCGGATCCTAACCACTAGACCACACGGGATTGGATCCTAGAGGGGAGTTTTTCTAAGTGTATTGTCGTTGCAATGAAGTTGGACACTGCCTGAAAAGGAGGGTTGTCACATGTCCACTTTTTAGTTGTTTTCTCGGCTCGAACCAAAATTCTTTTAGCGGGGGTATATCACTCCTTTTAAACGATTACATAGAAAAGGTCCTTGGACAAGTATACGGCTCTTCTCTTTCAATTTTTAGGGTATTTGCCATTGTATGCAGTATTTATTGAGAACAAATTTATTACACAAAGCTAGGTCCAGATCATCTACCAATAAAATACGGCACACTTTAGGCAGAAGACAATGTCGAAGGAATACTGACGTACGAGCAAGCGGAGCGCGTCGTTGGGAAACTCCTACCCCCAAAATCACTTCGGACTAAGGCTCCGTTGCGGAGTTACTCCGGAGTGATTTCCCTATCACCTTCAGAGTGATTTTCACTCCGCTAATCAGGCGTTGGTGAAGCGTAGTGTAACTCAAAGAACCAAGAGTTTGAAAAACTGTCAAACATTAGCATCATAAGAAACAAGGGAAGTTTTTTCGAAACTTAATAGCTAGCTAAAGATGCTTGAATAAATTTCAGACGAAGAGCGCATTATTGGATTCTCCTCGACAAATGGAAATCTGCTAAAAACGACTTGTTGTATAAGATTATTGCGAGGAGCTGAAGAAAGGTGAGCAAAGAAAGATGAGCTAAAGCGCCAACTGCCACGAATTCATAAAATTATGATAGCAATAAAAAGGAATTTTTTTTCAGTGAATGGGTTTCTAACATTTTAGCTCCGTGAGAATTTTTGCCAGTGATAATTAAACTTGGGAATGACTTCAATTCAAAACCTTTCACAAACTATTCTTTTGTTTACCACCATCATTTCCTAATTACAAGCTTAACTAATTGTAATTTCCTATTGATTGCGAAAGGTTTTCAAACCAATCTTTGTAGCAGCGAGAGGATAAATAACATACCTCATTGACTGAAATTCTTCTGTACTCATATTCAATTTTGATCTACAATGAAAATTGCAAATATTTCAAACAATGTCTATGCAAACAAAACAACACTGCAAATAAAGAGAATCAGATTATATACATATTTTTTTAATAATGACTATTTCCATGACTTTCACGTAATTTAATGTGCGTATAACTTAATTTCTATATTCTAGTTATTTTCTCTTAATCTACTAATATATTTATGCTAAAGAAAGTTAGTTTGACTTTTTTGCTTAAGTCAAACTTGGCCTTCGACTTTGACCTGGAAATCGCAACAAATTATGAGGCTTATGTTAATCAAAGCAGTTTTTTAGCTACAACTTTTTCATAACTAATTTATTGAATTTTGAGCAGAAGCTGTACAAGAAGCCATTTCAAAGCAACAGGTGAAATATTTTAAGGTGGAAGCCATGTTCACCGGCATGTGGGAGTGGATTTTGATCAATAGAAAACTATGAATCAAAGCGAAGTAATTTGAAAGTGCATGCAAATGAACCAAAGGCCATTCTTGTGATGGAAGATAAGTACACTAATTACTTCCTCAAAAACATTGGTTTGAGTTTTCAAGCCCATATTTTATTTAAAATAAATCAAAGTGAAAACAATGCATTAAATGATTGTCATAAACATAAAAGAAATTTTACAGTGCCACAAAAGTAATAACTGATATTTTAAAAAAAGTATCAAAGGAGACTTAGCCAATAAACATACCTTAATTGTTCAACAATATATCTATTTTTATCTGATTTAGAAGAAGGGGTCTTGTCTTCAAATAAGTTCACTTTGGCATCTTTTTGCTACAAAAAACAAAATCATCTTTGTTAAAACCATCAATGTACATTTGGATTGCACATCCCTCATATTGTGAAGACTGTTGCCCCCAAGCATTTGTCCCAATAAAGAGGAATGATAGGCAATTTTCATTGCAGAGCCAGAAATGGTTGCAGTACACTCCTTTATCATAATTAAATAGGTTATATTTTCTGGAGGGAGCCTTAAAGAGTGTAAACTATGATTATAAATATGTACCAGGCCCATGACATATAATTAGGTACTGATCAAACTGTATACAGATACGTAAATCTGATCTCCCTATTATCATCAGAGTTTAGTTAGACCAGATTTCATTTTCCTTAGCTTTTGTCTAAGGTTTAAAAACAAAAAAAAGTTTATTCAGGTTTGCAAGTCAAAAGAATTTCTTAAACATTTAAATAATTACCAAAAAAGTGTTAAAAATTAAACATAGCTTTATTGAGGTGGATTTCTGAACAGTCATACTTTAATGACAAAGAACTGGGACATTTGCTCACTCACTAAACCTCAAAGTCTTTCACAGTTTATTTTAAATTCAACTTCAATTTTGAAGAGAAATAATTCAATGACTTGTGTAAAGCTTGGGCTACAATATTATTTTTTTTTCTTACCTTGGCAGCATATTTTTCTAATTCATTAAGAAGCATTCTCAGCTGGTCAGCAAGATTCTTCTGTCTCTCTTTCTCACAAGTAACCCTCTTGTCATAGCACTCATATGCCTACACGACAAAAAGGATGATAATAAAATTATGCACAAAGTTAAACAATTAACAATAATATAAGAAAGAAGAACAAAATAAAACAAACATATGACACTGTATTCAAAATGAAATATATTACAGTCCTTTTCGTTTAGCGCGTGCGATCGCACCCGCACACGCCTGCACACGCGCAAGTTAAATTGCGCGTGCTTTTGACCACACGCGCAAACAGGTGTTTTTGCAGTTTTCTGTTAAAGGGCCTCTCCAGCCAAATTTTGCACTTGCATTTTATTGGCAATTTGTATAAAGAAGTTGAGCCTGCTGATCACGAATTCGTTATTTGTTTTTCGATATTTTTTTACAGTTTGTGAGATATAAGCTCTTGCATTTCGATAATTTAATTTAATTAACCGACAAAAATTTTTGGTTTGGTGACACTGTGACGCAATTTCGACGTCACAGTGTATTTCGGATAGTCTCGCCTCAAACCGAATCGAACGACGGCGATTCGCAAATTGAACACTGCAAGTGATGGTACTCTCAGTTTTGTTCCACCAGCTTTTAGTTTGAGCATTTCAGACACCAATTCTGAAGCCTTTAGTTGTTCATCGTTTCTGGAGAACAACTGAAGTGACAATTTCGATTAATTATACGCGAGGGAAGAGCTGGAACAGGAACTGGATGCAGTTATCAACGCGTGACCATGAGTCCTTCACGCTTCGGTGGAAGATATACGAAATTCATGGCGAACGAGAGCCGCACATTGTGACGTCAGAATGTCACCAAACTGATTCGGCTTTTGTCGTTTTTTTTCTCGGAAAGGTGCAACTGTAAAGCCTTACAACTTCTAAACTAATTGGAATTTTTCAAAAACAATGACTTTGTCATAATACACGCACCAGATGCTAACTTTTAAGTCATTAAAAACAATTTTCTTTTGCTGGAGAGGCCCTTTAACATCAATTTCCCATGGTCTCATGATTATCTATCCTTTTCCCTTGTTACTTGATTCGCACTTTTGACCACAATATGATTTTTCCAATTTTCGGAAGTGATGTTTGGCTTTTGACTGAGTGCTCCATTCAACTTAGCGTCTCGTCTTTCAGCTAAGTCGCCATTAGCATGTTAAGTGTAATAACTGATTTCCTGTCAAAACGTAATTAGGCCCTGAAAGCAAGTAGCTGTTGGAAACAATTTTTACTTGCTCTTGTAACTTTGGAGAGTGACGACGACTTTTAAAAGATGGCTGCTAAGGGCAACAACATCTGTTATGTATTGATTAATTTTGAGTTTTGCTCTTGCACGTATTCGAGTGGCTTTTTCCTTCTTGCTCCTTTTACCAATTTTATCAGGTTTGTACTTCAAATTTTCTTACAAGTGCGATCGCACGCGCAAATTTGTTTACATGTGCGATTTGCCACACACGCGTAATTTTGCTCACGAAAAGGACTGATATTATACACAACATAATCATTATGAATTATAATATGGTTCACAGAATGAAGAGGATGATGACATCAATTGGAAAACATAAGCATATTATTCCTTCATTAATGCTGAACAGTGCCAAAAGTTTACCAACTGTGTATCATTTTACCAGCATGTGCATCAACATTAGCCTTAACAAAGCAATGAACTTTTCATTCTTTGAAGCTGAAATACCAAACTATTCTGCATCATGTGTTATTTTGATGTAAAATATAAGATCACAACTTTTTTGACCCATTGATTGAAATTTTACGAATCATTTTGAAAACATACAATCAGCATATCAATTGTGTGATTAGAATTTACATATGATAGCAAGAGACCAAGGTCAAATGCTGGCTTCAACTCAAATTTACAGCTCAAATGATGGCAAGAGCAGTTGAATACGTACCAAATGAGTTGTACAGGTTACACATTTTAATTTGCTTTCATCTGGACCTACAGTTTCAGGACAACCAATGAAGGCAAAGTCTTCAAGTTCTCTAAGCAATTTCTAAAAAGAAAAAACGAATTATCAGAACAAGTTTCCAACAATTTCTTTTTTCATTACAAAGGTATCAAGACCAAGATGGCCTCTAACCTAATTACAACATTAAAATAACAATAAAAGTTAAAAGGATCGCTGCTACAACAACTTGTCACAAGTTAATATTAAAAGTGCCTGTGACATGATTTTTTTTATTCTCTTAATTGAAGCGTTGCACTGCTTTTATAGTAGATCTGAACTTTTTTTGAAATAAAAGCATTTTGATATTGAAATTAAGCAAAATAGTGCGGCCTAGCCAAGTCCCTTTATCATCATTCAGCGTTTGTTTGTGACGTCATGGGAGGAACTCGTTATTGTAACAATGTAAGCGCTACCTTCTAAATCTCATCCTCGCTGCCACTACTTTCTCTGGAAATATCGCTCATCTTGGACCTGTTAGATTTCCCTCATTGACTACGATACAAAAACTCGAAGGAGGAGGCGATCGGGTCCCTCCCGTGACGTCACTGTCTACTCATTCTGAAAACCAAGATGGCGAATTTTGGCGTAGAAGATCGCCAATAACTCCTTCATCTATCACAAAACGTAAAAACTAACCGCAGAAATGAAATTAACAGGCCTTTTTACATAAGAATATATATACAAACCCAAAAGTTAATTTAAATAATACATTTGGCAATTGGGAAGGGACAAAAAAACTAAAAAAACGTTATATTAAAGTGTCATTTTTAAGCAAAAAAAGTATATAATCAACTAATAATAAATAAAATATGGGGTTTGAACATATTGCTCTAATTTTCTCTCAATCCTATTCTAAACCTTTTATGTAGAAGTGGCAACTAAATTGAGACATTTTAGGTATTCTTGGCTTAATATTCATAGATAAATTGATTCCAACTTGTTAGATGCTTTTAATTAGAGGCTATCTATCAGCAAATTCATAAGAAAATGAAATTCATCTCCTAAAACCCTTAAACCTGTCACTAAGCAGAAACTGTGGTATCGTTTTTCTCTAAGGGTAGGGTTTTTACCAAAACGACCAGCTTCTACTTCTAGATTATGAGCATTTGGTCTTAACCGTGAAAGGCATCTTCTTTTGTTAAAGTCTTTGACAATGTCAAGATAGGATTCGAAAATCGTTTTAAGGGTGGGCCACTCATCAAATTACCAGCAATCTGAGCCATAATTTTGAATGATACTGTCATCTGGTCAAATAAATATTTAAATAGTCGAGGTTGTAAAACCATTTAACTCATTTAGAAATTAAAGAAAAATATCCTTTACCAGCTTTTTGCTTGACCTTTTCAATATGCTCATTATTATTCAGTATAGCAAACACTGTAAATAAAATAACTAAACTAGCCTCTTGATCTGTCTTTGGTGCTGAGACAATCTGCTTCAATCTGAACTGGACCTAAATAAAAGGCAATTGAAAGTAATTAAAATTTGGATGCTAAAACTAGAGCTACAAAAGCACTGAAAAAATAAACATTTTGACAAATGTTTTCCCTACAACAGCCAATGTCTTATACTATGCATAACAAGTTTGCTTACCGACAAGAATCAGAGACCTATAATGAAACTTAATTATTTCTAAAAAATCTGTCTTTATTCATGACATACAAGTAATGATTTAAAAAAATTCAATCAAATCAACCTTTTTTCAAGAAACACATTACCTGAGCAAAATGTGATGTTAAGGCCATTAGCGAGGCATTGAGTTTTTCTTGTTCTTTCTCAAGTTCAAGAAGATGTTGACATTCATCTTTGCTATTAAGAAATGAACAATAAATCAATATATAAAATATATTTTACTATAATACAAAACACGACAAAATACAAAATGAACTCTTCTCTGCTGCTTTTGCTTCTGTTAATGCTTAGCTTTCATAGCAAAATAAAATATAAAATCAAAGCAAAGGCTATCATGATGTTTATCTGTCTGCTGCAGATTTTTCAATGCTGTTTAGGCAAAGCTATAAACACTTGAGTGTCTAGAAGAATTTTTTTCTCACTTATCTGATAATGCAACCAACAGAAAACCAAGCAGGAGAGCAGATTCATTTGATATTTTTACAAACCTTTTTGCATCAGTCTTGTACAATTTTGGTGTTTTTCAAATCTTATGGCCTAATCATGAATTTTTTCTCCATTTTAGATCTGATTTTTAGTATCGTCGTTTTAAACAATATGGAATATTACACATGAACATGCGGACTAATGCAAGTGAACTAGTTAGCTGTCATTAATCATGTATATTTTTGCATATCTCATAAAAAAATTGAAATTTGGAACCAAAAGACGTTCATCATTGCGATTTTTAAAAATGTTCTTATAAATGGTGCTTCTTTCCATGAATCTTTGTGAACTGTACTTTTTTTATTAGGTAGTGTTTTTTCACATGACCCAATTTGAAAAGAAAGAATGAAATTGATACCAAACAATCATGGCTAGTGATACACACAACTGACAGATGTTAAAAAGATTCAAATATTTCAACATAGCAAACAAGGAATTTCATTCAGCAGGTGGTATATACATGAAAAAATCATATATCAACTGAACTGTCTCTAATGTCCACACTACCTCTTAACAAAACAAAGTAAATCCTATACTTTTGCAAATAACAAAAAAACAGGTGCTTTTCAAATTGACAGAATGAATGAAACTTATATGTACAGTTTATAACATAAGTTATAAGAGTAAACCTTGAAGACCAAATTTTCTCACAATTGTTTACATTTGCACAACATTAAAGACACACATTCAAATGATTCCCCTTCAACCAATCTTTCAATTTTTTCTTTACATTTAAAATATTTGCAACTGTGAGCGCATGTAACCTTATCTTCATATTGAATATATCTATACATTGTTAATTTAAATTTGGTACTGAATAACTTTAAAAAATTAGAATTTATCTCACAGATCCAACACAGTTTTTCTTTATTTTTTGCCTTCCTCTCATTGAAGTAAAAAATTGATTTTTATACAAAAGAAACAAATTTAGAAAAATATTATGAAATTCAGACAACTGCAATATTATACAGTAAGTCTAAAACTTAAAAAAGATAATAAACACTTGAAAACCCCAAGAACTAACATATATTCCAAGTTATTCTTAAGCGTTCACTTTTTGCAGGGTACTGGTTGATAACTGATAACCTAAATAAACAATTACTTCAAATATTGGCCTGTTTTTATATTTTTCTAAAATCTGATCTTTCTGACCTTAAATAAAGAAAAAACTTCAAATCATAACAAAATAATTTTGTTATATCTTTATGCTTAAGTCTTTTTCTTAAAGGTGAATTATGTCTTAACAGGAATCTTCCCAGGATTCTTGTTTTTGCATGAAATCCAACCAAAGGTATCCACACTCCATCCCCCTGCTTGCTCCCTTTTACCTATAGTCTACCTAAGACATTGTGTTTAAAAAGAAGAGAATACTTTTGTATGTTTTTCTCCAAAGGCAATCCAGTTCCAAGCCCTCTTTTCCTTGTTCAAAAAACTCACATTTTATAGCAGAGAGCTCTGCACCTGAATAAGAAAACTTGTAAAATGCCCTTATTGAGCATTTGCTCAGAAAAATTTGAGGATGCTTAAACCTTTAGTGTGGATCTTGCCTGAATATCATTGCTTCATTGAGATAGAACAACCCAAATGGGACCTGAAGACAATTTTAACTGATCATGGGCAGGGGGTTATAGCCCTCTCAACCCCCAAGCATCATAATCCCATGACAATGAGTATCAAACATTACAAGTCAATATACAAATATTGTAAATAACTTTTGACTTGCCAGACTTCCATGTGCTTCAGACAATAGGCACATGGAATACAGAATGTAATTTGCTTGATCTTCCATCATTAGCAGGTTGCATATATATAGCTATTCAGATAATTTGCATGTGATTAGAAATACCTGTGCATAGTGGATCCAATATAACATGTACCATATATGAAAACTGACTGTTCTTTTAAAAAAGTAAATTCAAGCATCCCACCCACAGTGCTTTTGGTTAGTTACTTTTCAAAGCTTAGAATGAAAATTTATGAATTAAACTCAGCTTTGCACTTCAAACTTCAATTGACAGTTCTTAATACTAAGTTTTGATCAACAATTGAAACCAAAATTTTATGTTTTGAGCTATATATGATGTCCTACTGAAAATAAGCCAAGCTATCAAAGAAAGTGGAAACAGAAAAACAAGACATTCCTTCTTCCATTCATTCTATACATTCGAAACAAACAAGCCATAATGAAGGTGCTGCTTCACTTAGGTTGGGAATGATTTAACATATTGCACATTTCCTGAAACGTCAAGGCCACAGGATCTATCATTGGTTTCATAACATTCATACAACAAAACGTTAGCACAAGAATTATTCCCTATCGGTCGATTTTGATTACAAAACATAAACATCTGACTTTGAGGGGTACAGCGACCCACACTCCTTGTTGTTTACTTTTGTAAAACTGATAATATCATGCGCGGGCTAGGAAATAATGCTTCAGAACTTAAAAGAAAACATTATATTTTAATTTGAATGCTGAACGAACGCCTGGATCCAACAACCAGTAGGCGTTTTATGACTAAAGGGAACCGGAGATCCTTCTGATGATAAGTAGAAATCGAAATGGGCCTTGCCTTTAGGATATCTATATAAACTGGTTTGTACCTTGATTCATTTTCACGGAAGGTAGCAGGATTTTCTTCGGTCGAAGCAGCACCCAGAGGCTGCCACCGTTCAACTTGTGGTGGATTTGAATAAGAACTCTTCTTGCCCTCATTTCCAAATGGGTCGTGGAAGTCGAAGGCCTCATCGAACATGTAACGTTCCAGCGCCATTATACTCTACTCAACGGGTTGCTGAAATAACTATCCAAGGAGACAGACAATTTTAGCAATGAGGATTCCTTTGACTAACCAAACGCTCATTTTGATGGTCTTTACTTTATCTTCAACACATCTTCCCGGACATCTGCTATTTTTCACTCCTCCTAATGGCAAGAAGCAACAAAAATTCACCTCAATTTGATTCTCCTTCGCAGTAGCCATTAGCTATGACGTCACAAGGGATCTCGTTGCCATAAGAAACCCACGCATAAAAATGTTATAAAAATGTTAATTGCGACAAACACGAGGGAGGGAGGCAAACGCGCGACTGGGTGACAAAGCAGGCTCGTAGACACTGGGGGCAGGGGAAACTAATAATTTGTGAAAGTTGTGTTTGAAGATCTTATAAGCGCAGCTTGATCTAACCGTATTTCGTAAGGCAGTTATAGAAAAAGCTATATTTCTATCCATGCCCCCCCCCCCCAATTCAGTTACCAGCGGCTAGGCTAGGCTTTTTCTGACAGAACACCTGACACCAAACCGTCGTATGCATAATGCAAGATATTTTGAAGCAACAGATAATGGAAACTTCAAAGTCGACAAACAAAAATTAGCTTGTCGTTCGTTTGCAATCAAAAGGGAAAGAATTTGAATCAATGAATGCATCTAGGATATCTTTTTGATTATCTACGTCTGGAAACGCATTTTCTAACATAAGATAGCTATGTTTGGTTCGATTGTTCTGTAAAATAAGAAGGACTTGATGCTTCCTGAGAGATTCTAACACATTTCTATTCAAAGTGTACCACAAGAGGCTCGCTTCCAAAACGTGTTGTAACAGATTGGCTTTCACAACATATCATACCAGATTTCAAAAAGCAGGTTATTGATTTAGATTACGGAATGTTTTAATTTGATTTAATTTAATGTATCTAAAACTTATCTCTACTTCATTGTGTAGAGGTGAAGCATTTGGGTGAGTTATAGTTTCATCAGAAGCCATTAAGTATCAAAACCAGGTAAAATTGGGCTTCTTCAGCAGGATTTAGGCCATTTCAACAGGACAACAGGGCCTCCGAAGAGAGGGGGAGAGGCCGGAGGGCTATGACCCTCTCACTTTTGTCAAAAACTTTTGCTTATTTTGCTAAAAACATTTGGAATGATTGGATTATGATGCCTTCACGTGACTGGAAAATTGCTGTGAAACACCCATTTTTAAAATTCAGTTTTTAGCTTTGAGATAAAGAAGAAAAAAAGAAAGAAAAATAGTTTTTTTTTCATCTTTTTGTTACAAGTAAAAAAGTGAATTTGGCGAATCGAAGCAAAATTTACCGAAGGACGCAAGCATATTTTGGGAGGGGTGGGGGGTGAAACTTCCTTCGCACCCCCACACCACATGGAAAATCCTTTCCTTTTCATCTAGTCCACGGGCGAAACATTGAAAACTATCTTATAAAGTCATTATACATTAGGTACAAAATGTTTCGGCGTGAAAAACTTTCGGTTTGTCCATTTTTGAAAAATTTAGAGTTATCCAAAAGTTTATCAAGGCGAATATTTTAATAGATACAGTATCAGCAGACACACTACACACCTATAACCAATTGGCAAAAAGTATGAACTTAAAAAAGAAAATAGATGATTTTTGCTTCTTTTTTTCTATGTATTCTAGAAATTTTAACTTCGGAAGGACACTGTGTTTGAGCTTGTTTGTTTGTTTGTAAGTCAAACATTTTTATAAGAAGTTAAGAATTTGAGCCAGTCAGGTACTGAAAGTTTCTTAACACAGTCACATTCGAGCCTTCAGAGATTTTTCCAAATTTTTTAGGAGTACAATAATAATATCAAAGAATGTTTGTGAATGAAAAACCTGACGTGGTTTTGCTTTAAACATCCAAAAGACTAATCAACATTTGTCCCAAAATCTACTTGTTCAAAATTTCAAAAATATGTTCGAAAATATTTTTGCTGTAGTTTAATGTTCGAAATTTTATCCATTGAAGATTGTTGTACTTAAATCACAGAGGGGGTTTGAAAGCATGGAAGTTTTGAAAATGTTACTAGTTATCTTAAACTTTCAACAAATTTAAAAGCCAGGCAACACTTCAATGCTAAAAAATTCTAAATTGCAAAATGGCAAGCCAAACATTCTGGGTTTTGAAGTTTTTCTACGAAAGACAATAATGATGCAGTTTGACTTTACAAGAGTTCTCGACGTAAATGACGTAAATGATAAACTGTAAATGTTAATAGACGTAAATGTTATGACTTGCTCAGGTACAAGAGAATGCAACGAATTCACTTATTTGAATATTGTATTTTAGCTTTGCACAATTTATTTTTATTCCATTTTAAAAAGGAGAGCCAGACTAGAACAGAAATGGAAAGTGATGAATTTTTAAACAAATTTTTTTCCTAAACCATGGAAGGGTAGGTTTAATTATTTAAACCAAAGGATAAAATAGTAGAAACTATTGCGAGTTTTATGTCGCTGACAGAAACTCCGAAAGGTGTGTTCGATTTTGATTAATCTTGTACCGGTTATAATATAAAATTTCATCTTTATTAAACTTTTCATTGCAGAGGAAATCGCGCTGTAGAGTTTTCGCTGAAAGAATAGGGATGAAAATGAATTAATGGAACGCATCTATATGAATTTTGAAAGATTAATTCGAGTATTGCTTTGAATTTTGATGATTTCGCATGCTTCAAATCTCTCCTGCCACTAAAATGTTTGCACACGGGCACTTTGTCGGAGAAATCCTTTAGAAATCTTTATTCAAAAAACTTGCTCTGTTTAATTAATATCTCAAACCTTAAAACGGGGCGTTTCAATATTTTGCTTTAAATTTTCTCGTTTGTCTCGATATGACTGCGAGATTGGACTTTATTGATGACTTTTATAGAATCTATAATAAATAGCAAGTAAAAACAAACCAAACAGAACATGACATGGCAAACTGTAACACCATGATTTAACAGAGCAGCTCTTTTTGATACCTGCTTGATAGCTTTGGACAGCAACATTCAGTTCTGGCGAGTAACTGAAAGACCGTAGGGAAATATTGCAATTTATCGTCAAGGCTTTTACCAAAAAGACTTATAGAAAAGGCAACGTTGTGAAGTTTATGTTTTATGGTACAGAGTGGATAACATCTTAAATGTCTTGGCCAAAATAAATGACGTTTTGGTTGCTTCGTCATTTTAAAGACCATCTACTACATAGGAGCAAGACCATTGCAGGCAAATATCGATGCTATTATCTCTTTTAAGCAAAGTTTACAATTTTACGAATTTAGATAGGCCTAGGCCTATAATTCAGACATGATTTACCTTCGAACACTAATTTCGGCTACTTGAAACTGATTTTAGCCCTGAAAATGTAAAGTCTTAAGCAAAAAGAAGACTTTCAGAGGTATAAGAAGCCTAAATATTCATTTATTCAATTCATTTAAAATATATTTAAAGAGGTTGCCCTCTAGCAGTGCTGATTTTCAAAGGGCCCTCCACATATAAACATATTGATAGAATGCTTGATTTGGCTTTGGTAATGTAGAAACTAAGGGATCACAATGTCAGCGCTAATCATGGCAAGTACAATGACACATGCTCTCAATATAGTCATTATGATTTATCAAACAGATATCACATAACTTATGTCAATTTGTTTCCTTTGATTTTCACCTAATCAAGATATCTTGTTGACAAGAAAAATGTTGTTAAGTTATAATAGAAAGCAGGGAAGTATCACAATTCAGTAGTCTTTTGATCAGTAGTCTTTTGAATAGCTTAGTTACTTTTTAATCTGTTCGTTTGATTGAAATACCATCATTTTAAAAGGGGATATATAGGGCTCATGCTGTCCAGAAAAGAATACGCTGTGGCATTGATGATACCACTTTTCACAGAGGCGGATCCAGAGTGAGTTCCTTGGTGCACAGAACTCAGTCAGTTTTCCAACATACAGCTAAAAATAGTGTTACCTGAAACAAGTAATATTTAAATTAAAAATTGAAACCTAAAAATTCTAAGTTTTATCACAGTCTCTTCAAAATCTTAAAATTGCCAGTTTCTTCTCTGTCGTGATTTGGAAACGATTTTCCAGACACTGTGGAGGACAACAGCAGCATGCATTAGTTTAAGGAATTTTCATCACTGCACAAAACAGCGTAAATCGCCGATTTTCTGGGCCAAATAGGGTGTGGCTATGGGTGTGGCTAAGTTTTGACTGGACCTCTTTTGAGCGGAACAAAAACGTTTTACATTATTTTCAGGGACACTTTTAGTGTAATTCAGCAGCTTATACTGATAATGTATACATCTGACCAGAAAAATGCTTTGCAAAATAGTTTTTAGACACCTTTACTGACAGAAAAGATTCTACATAAATGCTTACTTTGTTTACAGATATATAAGCATTCTATCAAGTTGCAGATAAAGTTTTGTTAGTTTATCCGGGGGATATGCTTAATGTTCGTTTATTAGGATAGTCTTGAAAGCCTACTTTTGGAATATGAATCAACGGTATAACATTGGTAAAACAGGGGAACGGCGCCACGAAATTGAACCTGGGGGGGGGGCTAAGAATGAAGTTTAGTGATATATGAGGACCCACCATGGTTGTGTCCGATGCGAAAGAAAATTTTCGAAATTGGGCCTTCTAGAACGGCTAATAAAAATGCATCTCCCAGACTAAAATCAAACAATTTACTATACCGCTTAGATAAAACAATTCGACGATTCTCAGAAAAACATCGATTATTGATTTTTAGAAAAATTTGAGAGGGGAGGAGTCATGCGCAAAAACTCGGTTCAGAGTGCACGTCGATGTGAATAACAAAAAGCTGTTGTATTGATTGAGAGGATTTTACTTCCTGAACATAAATATGCATCTTCTTTGTCTCGAGTATTTTCAGTAGGCCAGGTTTACACATCCAAAATGTAGACATTGTAATGATATAAAAACTAGAATGTTATCTACTGAATTAATGCAAATCATAGAAAAATAATAGAAATATAGCTGAACAAGATAAAAGAAAATTAAACAGTATGATATAAACAGTTTATTCTCTTGTTATTTCATACTTTGTTTTCAAAAATAAGAAAAAAGAGGGTCAAAAAATTTTTACTCTGAAAAAGGGGGGCTTTAGCCCCCAGCCCCCAAGTGGGATCGTGTCTGAGATACATAACGATATAATTTATTTGGTTATCATAAAAAGTAGAAAATGGCCGATGAAACCTAACAACAAGCATTGATGCCTCTACTTGAAATATCGTTTCAAAAAGGGATGCGCAAACTCATACTGAGTTGGCTGAGTTTTGCCACGTCGTATTACTAGCATACGGATTTTCAAATTCAAAGGCATTATGAAGTGCGTTTGTGACTAACTGTATATGGTTTTCATTATTAACGTTGGTCTTAATTGAGCTCCACACGTAGCTTGATTCCATAATCTCAATTGATTCTCGATGATAGTTGGTATTCATTTGTCTCAGTAGTGTAATCAGTAGTATTTTGAGTATTTTAAACTGAAAAGTGAAGAAATTCATCACTGCACATTTTTCAATTCATCACTGCACATTTTTGATTCATCGCTGCACAAATTGGTCATCACTGCACCTTAAATTAATCCTTGAACAGCAGTCTAGATGTGCTAGAACTCGGAAATAAACGTTTTGTGCCTTGGAAGTGAACGAACTGAAACAATGAATTTTTTGTTTGGAACACGGATGGAACTCAGTCAAAACAGCATCTGGAACTCGGAAATGATACCAAGTGATATGATATTTGTAAGAGAGCTGTACAATGGCCCGTAGTTGATTGACTGCCTATTGTTTTTGTTCTATTGTGGAACTGCAAAACATTGAATTCGAAATGGCGACTGCAGATGTCTTATACTCAAGACCGACCATCGCATCATTCTAGCAGATTATTAAGCGTTTGAGATAAAACCAGGAGACATCGTTAATTTTCCAGGAGTGTTAACTAACTTTGCTTTAAATTGCAGTCTTTGAAGGCACGTAAAACCTATGCTCAGACGGAACACCATATTTTGATGAATATGCTGGTATCTACTGAGGCAAAACAACAAATTGCGAGCAAAACAAAATGGAAAACCTTTGCTATGGCATCCAAAACGAGCAAAGGGTATTGAGAAAGGGAGGGGGTTGAAAATTTTACTCACAGAGGCACTGTTTTTTGTCGGAAAGAAATCTAGAATCTATATTTAGTGAGTAGATATTCCCTACTCCCCCCTCCCCCTCCCCCCTCAATGGTACCAAAATGCATAAATATGAATTATAATGTTGTCTTGTGCACAATGATCAATACATTATCTGAAAGACCCTAGCGTTGGCCTGGAACTCAGTCAGGTTTTTTGCTGGATCCGCCCCTGTTTCACTATCATTCCTTGTGGATATTCTGTTTTAATTCTATTTGCATCATTGTGTCGAAGTGGAAGTACATTTTAATTTGAAAAGAATGTTTTTAGAATTTATCTGTTTTTAGATTCTTTCAAACAGCAACTACAGCTTATGAACACACAATGTAAATGATTCATAACCACTCTCTTTCTAGTTCTTCAATCCCCCTGGAAGATGAACCTTCGGACTGTATTTGTAATCGTTGTCTTTATTCGGCATTCACGGCACATTCATTGTCAAAGTGAGTTTTCATCTTCATTTTTTAAAATACAGCACCTCCTCATGCAAAATTCATCTCAAAGCTTAAGCCTAAGGTCCCAAAGTAAATAAAATAGTCCGCTCTAATTGTTCCTTTAGATTTGTAGAAAAATGCCAAATCTGCATCCAAGGAAGTGATAAGCGGGGGTCAACCCACAGCGCTACGTAAAATTGCAAATGTACAAATGCAAATTTTTTGTTAAGCAAAATTTCCTCTGTGAATTTCGGTTTTTAAAAAATGCTCTTCATCAACTTGGATGAGATCAAAATGTTTTTATAGGACACAAATATTCTTTGGTTAAGGCTGGGCTAATCGGTTTAAAAACCTCCTAACTTATGCTTTCTGGTAATTTTACCACATTGTATGGAAAATGGCTCTTTCTGTTTCAGCTGCCCTATCTGTCCTATTCTGTTTCAGCTGCCCTATAGACAGGCTTGCTCATGTCTGCACAACATCGACACTTTAATGGTTGGAGATGCAAATGTTTCAAACCGTCTCCTTTAGTGGACAAATCTACTGTAATTGACCACCCATATCATCAATTTAGCTGCTTGTTATTCTTTAACGTAGGCAAATCTAACTTTCTGATTAAGTTGAAATGATTATTAATCTTGATTATGTCACTGTCAAATAATATGAATCGATATAATTTTGAAGGGGGGCCTTTAAAGTCAAGGCATCATCTCACACCAAAGTTTGCCACTGCACAGCTAGTACTTTTAAAATCAAGACGAAGCTTTATGCAAAAAATGTTCGTCGTTTTTTCAAATTCTTCATAATAAGATACGTGTTTTAATCTTTGTAGCACTGAATTTAAGTGCACAAGTTCCTTTTGGCTTGCTTTTTATATATTTACAACTTATGTTGTGTTTTTTCTGAGCTTTAGCTTCAGATTGCTTACCTTAAGAATGCTTAAGCTAAGCCTGCATCACCGTAAAATACAGTTACATTGAAACCAAAATTCGTAGATTATGTCACTTTAGTACCCTTTGAATGAATTTGCTTGGCCGCTGCATTGGTGCAACCTATTCCCAAACAGAAGTATAAAAAGTCGAGCCTTTGTTATAAAGACAAAAAGTATGCCGCAATCAATATTCGAGGAAAGATGCAGAGTTGTTCTGATATGACCTAATTTATGATTTAATTTTTCAATTGCGGTTGTGTTTACATTAAAATCACAAAGTAAACATCTGCCACTGTTGCTATGAGGTATATTGTTTTTGACATTGGTCTGGGCTTATTAATTTCCAAACCTAAAACAGCCTTGACAGCCTGCAGGCATCTCCATACATGCAAAGGACTCCTATCATCGAGGTTTTTGTAATACACAACTTTACGAAATTAATGTATAATTGATGCCTCATTGAGCTTATTCAGGTATCTTCAGCAATTGATATTAAGTCTGGATTTAACCACGTCTCATATGGAAATGGCTATGGACGTCTTTATGGTACTGTTGAGGATAAGAGAGCACATATCCTCAGTTTGATTGCTGGGTTTATAAATCCTGATTTCTGTTGGAAAAACTGTATCTTACCTAAGGAAACATCAATCAAATAAATGGCTAGGGTTTTGGGCTTTCTTCACTAAAGGACAAAAAATTTGACGGCTACCTTTCCAGTTTCCATCCAATTAATGCTTGTGTTTCACAGAGATCTGCCATATCTCCTCTTTTGTTCATCTTTTTAATAAATGATTTACTAGCTTCCACAGTTACAAATTTTAATTCTTTTGCTATTAATACCTTTTTTGCAGTAAGGAAAAGCCTTTCGTTCTCCTTATGATTCTCAATGCAATTCTCCTATCAACACCTGTTGCAAAGAAATATTTGAGTCTCACTTCTCACTGATAACCTGACAATAATGAGAAAGCGAGGCAAAGACAATCTCATTAGTGACGCAAAAGGCATATGGTTGTTATTTCACGTAAACAAAACCCTAGATTTTTTCCTGTTTCCATGAATGTTACTGAATTGGACATTTCTACGTATATTTACAACTAGGCTTTTCAGTATCATTCAACCTTAACATAATTTCTCACAATTTTTCTTTTGCTGAACATTCAACCCAAAAACTTAGAGGCTCCTCTCTAGCACATACATTCTTCTCCCATCACAACTCTTAACAATTAAGTCCAAACTTGTCCTTCTTTGGAGTACTGCTCTCATTTTTGGGTATGCTTTTGACAAAATCCAATCCAAAGCCATTGGCCTCATCAGCCTGACAATCTTGTTGCATTGTTCTGTTTCAAATCTCTCAATTTCTATAGAATTTACCAGGGACATTGCTATCTGTGGATATAAGATATGGTCCCAGGTCCCCTGAGACATATACGCTATACCAGATACTCTTCCAGTGGTTACACTTTTGCAGTCTCTTTGCCAAATTAACGAACTCTGTCCCACAACTAATCCTTCTTCACAAGATATTGTCAATATTCGAATGCCCTATCCTCTTTCTAACTCCCAGCTTCTTTTAACCTGTCTTTATTCAAATCTAAAATCAACAAGCTTGATCTCTCCTCCCTCTTTTCCAAATCCCTCCCTCCTCTCCCTTTCAAGGGCTTTGTAATAGACTCCTAAGATATTCTCTTTCACCTCAACTGATGACAAAAATAAGGTGTGCCCACCTTATATTGTCATGACCAATATGTGCTGCTGTTTTCTTCTGTTAGCTATGACTTATTAATTGCTCTAACGTTTAGTGTCGTTTTACACTGTCACAAGTTTTAAGAAGGAAAAAATAAGAAAATCAGGGAAAACTAAGCCATGTTTATTTACGTTTATTGTGTTATTTATATTATTATTTCAATTTCGATGTTTACTATCAAACATACATTTTTAGGCCCTCTTTCATCTGTGAATGATTCTGGAGACAACACTTCTGGTACAACAAGCAGTAGCCCGTACTTTTCAAGCTCATTTTCTGCTGCAGCCGATCACGCAAAAACACTATCAGAAAAGGAAACAAACTATTTCAGCAGTTCCTTTGATTTACAGAGGACAGTAAGCCCATCTGCCTCTTTAGAAAGCCCTTGTCATGAAACAACATATCTTTCAGCGACAACCAAAGGATGCTCTCCCATTAAAACTATGTTGGAGCAGAGTGTGTCTCCAACAAACACACTTCTACATAAAAAGGCCAGCATGTTAACTGATTTGCCAACGGTATCACAATATCAAAGATCAGCAACACCACAAAATGCTGACGTTTCTACCCAGTCAATTGCCATGACAGCGTCAAGCAGTGGAAACCAGTTTGTGTTCAGCAGAAACAAGACCAACACAGAAGAACCAAAGACACAGGAGGCATCCGTATTTGCCATTGTCTTTGGAGTTTTGGGTGCAATTCTTGTTTTTGGAATACTTGGAATGATGGTTAGAAATGTGTACGTTAAAAACAAGAACAAAGTCAAGAAGATCAAGAGACCTAAAGGTTCGAAAAAGCTTCCATGATGAATAGAATTCTGCTTCCATGATGAATAGAATTATGCGTATACTCAAATAGCATCAAACAGACGGCAGCCTAAATTTACTGATGAAGGAATAACTTACAACAGGATAGTTTGTTTGACAAATAAATCCTGTACACGGTGGATTTTTTTAAGGTAGAGGCCGAGCCTCTTTCGCATTATTTTATTTCATAGACAGGAACAGTTTCATAGATATTAAGAAGCCGTGTTTAGTAAACTGAGAAAAATCGAAAATAATTTTAAGTTTTTGCGCTTTAAAGTCAAGTCTCGCAATGTAGAATACAATTATTTCGTTTCATATTTTTCAACACATAAGGGTAATTTATTTCTGTCTTTTAATCATTGCTTTAAATACAGAAGTTAGCATTCTGTGATCTTGTTTACCACCATTTTAAACTTTAAATATCATAAAGCCAAAAAAACCCAAAGGCCGTTGGGATCTAAAGATGTTATATGTTTAAGAGACATATTACCAATAACAGCACAGCCCATCCTCCACCCCAATAATTACGCCCCTGATTGCAGGCCATTTTTTAATTTATTGGTAGCATGATAACAAGATCAGAAAATATCAATAGGTAATACGATTTCCAGTAAACAATAAAGAGTATTGCAAACCATGATGACTTAAAACATGGTTATCGATGTTCGAAAAATCAAGCAAGGAGAAACAAGATTTCAAGCATTGTAATTCTTAAAATTCTAAATATATACATCGTTTTGACAAATTGACTATAAACATAATTTAAAGCAATACAAAGTTTTTGCGTAATTGGAGTGTTATTCTAAAAACGAACTATGAAACAAAATATACACCTAATCTTGAAATAATTGATCTCTTAAGCCCTTGTGAAGAATAGTTATTTTGGTCAATGTGAAATAACAATAAATTTGAAAAGTCTAAAAAATATAAGCAACAAACCTTTGTGATACTATAGCAGGCAAGATTTTAATAAGTTAAATTACTATGATCTAGAATAGGATGCTTAGTAGAGTCGCAGAGTTTGATTAATTAACATCCTGTAACACTTCTAAATTCTAAAACAGCTACTTTATAGGCATTAAATGTATAAGGAACTTGCAAACAAATAATTCGCTAGATCCCATATTTGATAGTCAATTTGGCTCGCAGAGACTTTTGTGACAACTAAGACTTTATCAATATTTTGAGAATAAAGACTTCCCCTGCAGGTAAAATGTTTAATTATTTATAATGTTAGTTGATCTACACAACGCTCTTACCAAATACTAGTATGAATTCAAATTTTTTCCCGTTTTACAAAAAAATCGTATTCACTATTTTGACAGCTATTTATTGCCCCATAGGAAATAAACTATAATAGGCGTCTATAAAATGAAGAAATACCAAGTATAAGATGAAAATTATCACTATCTGTTATTGAAAAACTTTTAGTAAATCTTGTTCCATATCTCGGAATTACATAAACTACTATGTCATTAACGTCACATAACGTTAAATCTATCAATTTTTTCTTGAATAGCTTTCCAGCTGCTATCCAATCAACATTTCAGTTTCAACAATATTTGCCATGCCATGGTCTTGATATCCTCTCGAGAGTATAACCATTTGAAGGTTATCCCAATCGTTCGTCAAATACTTTTTGGTGGATGCAGATGGTGAAAGCAGCTTGTGGAAAGCATTCTTTGCATCGATAAACAATTTCTATACCGAATTTCCCAAGTAGCTACACCACTGTTTCTCTTGCAGCAGTGAAATCTTCTAATTTATTATCAGCGATCCCTATCAGCCAACATGAATCTTTAATCTTTTCATAGTTTAAACTGTAATGTTCCTCCTCATTAATACTAATTTGAATGCTTTCTTTTTCCTCATCGGAATACGTTACTTCCAAAACTTCGTCAGTTTCATAATCTGATAGAGACGCGCCATCACAGGACGATGAAGATAACGAAGAAGTAACTGATGGCTTTCGTACTGATATCTGATTTTCTGTTCGCTCAGCTTCCATTTGTAAACTAATACCCGAATCATCAGAAAACCTAGAAACATCAGAAGACGAGGAACTGGTCGAGCTTGTACTTAATATTGAAATTTTGCGCTTGAATTTTTCGCTATAGTCTATTGTAGTAGTATCTTTGTCTTTCAAAAATGGCACTAAGAACAAGAGGCAGACACATATTGTTGAAAAACCGCCAGATAGGAAGAACGGTATTGCATATGAGCCAGTTATTTCATACAGGAATCCTGAAAACAGAAAAAGAACTAAATTAGACTCTACATAGGTTTTATTACTGATTTCAGGGATGCAGGTTTTGCATCTAAGTAATCTAAAGACTACTATATTTTCTAAACTAGTGATGATTGAACACCTTACTACAGTGGAATCCCGATATAACGAACCATTTCAGGTTCCCTGCGGAGCTCGTTTTATCGGGATTCCACTGTACTTCATTTTTCGGTGGACATGGAGGATCAGGATAGGTTTCCTGTTTTGCTAGATGTCATACGCTTAGGAGAGCGTTTCCTGACCCTAGAAGACCTGCAATTTGTTAATGTAATTGAAAAACTCTTCGACCTGTATGACACGTGGTTAATCGGATTATCCTGGCCGGATTCTTCAGTTTCGGCGGCTTTTAAGAAACAAAAGGCGACGCTGAGCACTCAGATTTGTTGTTTCTGCTGCTGCAGCAAACATATATTTGTTTTTTTAATTTCATTACTTCTAACATTTTTGAATCTGTACCAGGGTGAAAGTTTGAGTCTTCTGACATTGGTGGTGAAAATTTTACAAGGCTGTTAGGGGATTTATATTGTTTGCCCCTAAAGTTTGATGCCAACCACTCAATTACACTAATGGAAAATCCGCTTTTCTACTTTTTTGCATTGAGTACTCAAGTTTCTTATCTTCTAATGAATATCTTGTATTTATTCCTTATGGCAAGTTTAGGACATATATCAATGGATGTAATGTATCTAGCATGAACAAGGTATATCAAATCGACAAAAGATGCATAAGGTCTAAAGAGAGCGTGAATGCAATCGAGTTTAAACTATACTTTGAACTCTTTTAATAATAATTCTTAATTTTCAGTCAGTCTAGATATCTTTTGAGTAAGGTGGTGTTGGATGGGCCGGGGTTCGTCAAGAGACTTGAAATTTTCGTATAAAATTTACCGATTCACATCAAGTCTACACCATCATCTCCTTCTATATTTCACTCGCTAGATGTAAAACTCGTTTCACGAGGTAGACCGCTTAGATCTTGACACTTACCCGCAGCTGGTGGTCCGATGAGCATAAATATTGCCATGCCAACCATTTCAAAAGAATATCCACTGTCAAGGCTGTGCTCGCCAACGATATCTTCAATCACTTTGAGGGTGAAAACTGTGGAACATGCATCGAAAAAACCATAGAGAATCGTATAAGAAAGCATCCCGCCAAAACTGGTCAGCAATGGGCAAAAAGTCGTTACCAGTCCACATATGAAAAGTGTAGCCTGAAAAAATTAAGATATAGTTAATTACAATCAAAACTTTTTTGTAAAGAAACACCAGAATGCAGTAGCTATTAATCCTTGTATCAGTGACGGCATTAATTCTAAATATATCTATGAAATTAGATATTTGACAGTTGGATTAAGTCATGGAGACGAGAAATACCGGCCTCGGGGAATATGTAAACCACTGTTGTGAAAAAATACTTACTTGCTAAAGGGGATTAACCTTTCTTGAGGAATGATCTATGACAGCATAGTGAGCTTGGCTATGGCCCTCCCTTTATGTGATGTGCTTAGAACTCAAAATTGCAAAATCTTTTCCAGATCACATTAACAACGAGTTACCTGGCAGCAATAGACCACGTTTATGTTGCGGTACCACATCGCAATTTGTCCAAAGACGATTTTGCCAACCGACTGTGCAAGTGCGATAGAGCTTGGTAGCAAGGTTGCTTGCATCAAAGACACACCTTGGCCCTCGGCCATGTTTATCTGAAAAATGTACAGGTTATTAGGTGTAATCCTACAAGCTTCTGTCGCTAAAAACCTTGGTTAATGTATTGAGTCTTTGAAAAACGGTTGTCACACATACTGATCTCTACATAGTTAGCAACCACGACTAGGGACATTAAGAACACAAGAATTTAAATTGCCACGCCCTGGAATTGTCCCCTTCCCTTTTATTTCTGATAAAAGATTCTCTTAGTTTGTTTGAAGAGCTCGGGGAAAGATAAAATTTTTGTTGGATTCTACTTTACTTTTAGTGATATGTCTCCACCCTAATTGCACATGCTTCAACTGGAACATCAAAGTACAACGGGTGTTTAAATTGTTTATGTTTTTCAAAAGCCAATGAATTGTAAATGCGCATGTGACCAGCTTCTTTGCTTGGAAGAGCTTATTTATCGAAGAAAATACAAAAACACAATCTTTGAAACATGAATAAACACAGGTACGGAGGAACAGCAATGATTATGTCGAGACTTTATCGAAAACTCGTTCTATCAAGTTAACAAGCTTGCATTTGTAGAGATGTGATTAGAGTGGCAACTGGTACCCGTGGGCTGGTTAAAGAAGCAGCAAAGCCGCTGTTGAGTTAGGGGAATATATCTAAATGAACCGGCAACCAGCAAAAACAAAAAGATCGAGGTGCTTAAAGTTGGCCTAAACCAATATAATTATGAAGAGTTTGAAAGTAAGTTTTTGAAAAACTAGGCAAACTAATTATTGGAATTAGACGGTACTGTCGAAAAGTATCCCCTAGTTTCACAGTATCATAGTGCAAACATGGATTTTCTGCTCTCACAAGGATCTGATCATCATTATCTAATAGTAGCTTAGCAAGAAAATTGTGCTAACTTGATTTAAATTTCTATCAATACTTCTAAAAGTTTAGAAAATTGTTTCCATAGAAGCCTCGTTTAAGGAAAACCTGCCTACCGCCTCTTTTTCGATAAATTTGCTCTGTCCTTTAGAAAAGCCTGTACTTTGGGAAAACAATCAATAAAATGGTTTTTTTTAAGAAACAATTCATAAAAAAGTAGAATTGATGTTTATATTCTTACCAAATGAACAGATGGAATGTAGTAACCGAATCCGTTCATCCACATAGCAATCGAGAATGCCACCAGTGCCTTGTTTTTCCATATCTTTTTTGAAGACTTTGTATCGAATTTCTCTAATTTTGATTTACTATCACATTTGCACTTCTTCTTTACCCGTGTAGAGCCAAAAGTAAGACCACATATAAAAAGAGGAACAGCCAATATGGAACACATGCGCAGTGTAATTCTTAGCCCGAAGTTTGAAATAAGTAGATCAATCATGTAACCGACAGGAAGGGCGCCAATACCATGTCCACTGAGAGCTATACCATAGGCGATTCCACGCTTGTATTTAAAAAACATGGGTATAACGAAGATCCCCGTAAAGTGAATCAATCCACAACCAACGCCATAGACTATTCCATATGTCACGAATAGAACTGAAATAGAGGTGGCAAATGATGAAACTAGAAGCCCAGTGCCAAACAAGACAGCTCCAATGCAGCACACTGCACGGTAGCCAAGGCGAGGCAGTAGCATGTTGACAAGGAACGAACTCAGGTAGCAAATGGAGAAGGCGACAGATCCGACCCAAGCTGAAAGAGAGATAGAAATAATGGTAAAGCTTGGTTGGGAAAAATAGCATAGTTAATTTGATAAAACATTATAAGTTTTTGCTAAGGATTAGAACCTATAGCGGAAACACACAGTTGTCAAGGTAGGATTGATGCTAGGGGTTGCTAGTGTAATAGAACTGGAATCTAATCACTAATTCATGCTAAATATGCTTTTAATAATTTTCCGGTTTGTATATTTTGAAATCGCTGTTAATATCATTAGTCAGCTCATAATCTCAATACGAGTTGCACGCAACCTCTCGCTATCGTTCTTTATCTACTCAAACCCCATTACACTAGAAGAGGGGGGATAAGTGCCAATCCTACGAGCTTTATCAGATTGAAATCATCTCTGCATATACCTGAAACGCAAATATCTGAATTGGCCTTCACTTTCTCTCATGTTATTTACTCACAACTCAACTCATGCTTTATTTCATCTTTCCTGACAAGCTTTAACATTGCTTGATGTCCTATTTTTGTATTTATTTGGTACCTCTTAATGGTCGCCATAATTATACAATCTCAAAACATTAGAACTGTTCGAAGTTTTAATCATAAAAACGCAGGTATCGCAAAAACCCGGTTTTTTAAAACTTTCCGGATTTTTTAAAAAAAAATTTAGAGCTGTACATTATTCTGGAGACTACCGTGTTGAAGAAAATTTTCTTACTTCTTAAAAGCCTAAACAAAATGCACCTGATACGCAATTATATGAAGACACTGAAGTTATGCATGTTTCATTTCCAGCCTATGGAAGGACCGCAGATCATATTACAGATTTAGGGGGCTTCGTCGTTTTTGGAGGCTAAACATCTTTTAAAAAAAGAAGAAGGCAATTGTTTCTATGGTTTTAAGTACAATTTGGAAAGTGTTGGAGGGGAGGCTAAGGCCCTCCTCAGTCCCCTTCTGCCCCCCCTCATTAGTAACTGCACAAAAAGTAGAAAATTTAGTTGGCTGTCTGTGTTGTTTGAACATAAAATTTAAAGTCAAAACTTGTAACATGATTTACTTTTAGCTCTAGATTTTTAATATTCTTTGATTTAAGAGTTTAACACTTCTTTGCGTATGCGTGACTAGAAAAACGTTCATGAAGTTTCGTAAACACTAAATCTCCTTACCATCAAATGTCTTTTTTCCCAAAAGGTATTTGTTTAATTTGAGCATTACCTTTGTTTGTTTCATTTATGAAACTTTGTTTGTTTTTTTCGGACTTGTTTGTTTTTGTACATCTTTTTGCAACAATTTTCTTGACTTTCTTTTGCATCGAGTAAAAATTTTAGAACTGCACGGAATTTTGTTAATAAGTGCACAGAAGGCTTCTTGAACTGCACATTTTGTGTAGAGCTGCACGTTGAAAAAGCCCTGAGATCTTTCGACAAACAAAAGGTGCTTGCCGGCTAACGGAAAATGAGAGCACAAATCTAGGAAAAGCCTGATGAACCAAGGTTATCACATAGCAGGGCAAGACTAAGCATCTAAGACGGCTTTTTCAAAAATATTCACGTTATCAAACAGAAATAATCGTGTTTGCCATCCTTGTGGGGGTCTAGAGCTTTCAAGAAGAGATAATTGGTTGCTGCAGCTGGTTTTAAGAGCGACAATCTCCGTACCCTAGGTACCACAGCCGCAAAAATTCAACGGCAGGAAAAAATAATGAGAGCTGCGAAGGCGAAAAAGAGAGAAGAGGGGAAAAGAACATTTTTCCTACCACTGCATTTTTGCGGCTCTAGTACCCAGGGAACCATCTCCGTAACCTCAAAGACATGTCTGAAGGGGATTCCATAAGCCGAACCTTGTACTTTCGATTCGGTCTGCCTTTTGTCATGAATAGACCACGAACCAACTAGCCCAGGACAAGATCCTAAAGCGATCGGCTGGCAGCTCAAAAACATTGTAGGATTCATAGCCAAAATCAAACAAGAAAACTAAGAAAGATTGATTGAATAAAGCTGTGATTTGAAAAGACATCGTATCGCCCGAAATATGGAAATAAAAAAGAGGTAGTTCAAGGAAATACGAAAACTCTAGCTTTGGATTCGTGCGTTCATCGTTAATCAAACGACTTGGGGAGGCAATGATTTATCATTTGGAGGCAGATGTTTTTGCTTAGGACGGCATTATATCAAGCCTTGCTTTAACGCAGCTCAGCGCATTTCTTACATTTAATATTCAAATCAAACTCATAGTTCTATCAACTTCGAGGTGAAGCTACGGCGAACGAGACTATATATTCTAACCAAAAATAGCCAGTAGGCCATCAAAATGGTTAATCGAAATCTTAAAGTTTCTAAATCGATGAAAGTGAAGTCAACAGAGAAGTGTTTAGGTCATTAAGATGTCTAAGAAACTATGAATTCAAAATCGAAATTCAAGCAAAAATTCTTCCAGCTGTCTTAGTTTATAAAAAAGTCTTCTGAGCTTAAAATTAATCAAACAAGCTTAATCATCGTTTGAGAAAAGCTATCAAAATGAAATCTACATAGCTCTGCTCATAGTGAAATCTACATAGCTCTGCTCATATTCCTTGGTTGAAATTGAACAAGGTAACTATACCTGCTGAACTTTCAGAAGCGTTGAACTCTTCGATCAGTGCTACGAACAAGGTACCAAACGACGTGTAGAGACCCATAACTATAAATTCTATGAAAAATAATGCTGCACAGACGACCCAAGAATACCAGCTATCCATCTTGCGCTCGGGAGTAGAACCCTCCATCTTGTCTTCTTGTCGTCTGCTTTCCACGCCAGTCGTTGAAAAAATTTCCACTTAGACTTTTTAGACCTAGGTCCGTATTAGCCCAAATCTCTTTGTTTTTATCAGCCAATCAGCGTTAATTTCCTGTAAATCATGGACAAAAAAGGCTAGCATAGTCACCGGTTTTCGATTCTGATTGGCTGAAGATAAAGTTCAATGAAACAGGTGATAGACCTTCTATTGTTTGATAGACCAAATACAGTCAACGCTCAAATCACGAGACTAGCAGATTTGACCTAGGTAACAGGACATCGATATTGCATGATGCTCAGGGGAAAACCAAAGACGACCAGGTGCCTTAAAACAGAAATGGCGTCTCCTCTGAAAGAAGGGAAGTACAAGAAAGGTTCATCGGTTCATGTCAGATCACCTAAATTGTTATTCTATCGCTTTCCCGGCCTGATCTTTAACCAAAATTTCAGTTGTTTGTTTTCGTTGGAATAAGAAGGAATATTGCGACAAATTATGTTGAATTTAAAGTACATCTTTTTGAGTGAAATAGGGATTTAGGCCCTTGTCATTAATCATTAACAACAGGAATTAACGAAATGTTGTGTTCCACGGTATCAAACTGAATAATGATAAAACCATGCCAATTGATGCCTTAAATATTGTACTTTCCTTTACATGCTTACATGCTTTAAATCTAAGTTAATTCTATGAAATAGCAGCTTTGGTTTATCTAGAACCTTTACAAGCAACAAATTTCACACCTCGAGGACAGGTAGGCATCAGGTAAGTGTACGAGAACAAACAGATAGAGCTCACTTTTACAAGGTAAGGGACGCGTAAGGGCTTGGTGAATGAAACTAGGTATTCAAGACATCGAAGTATATAAGCCACCAGAACCTCTTCCAGTGGTATTGTTTTTGTCATATTATCCACCTACACCTGCCTCTGGCTATGGAAACGCTAAACATGGCAGGTCTATAGAGGCATTGATGTAGATTCATCTTAAATTGTTCCTTTTATCGAAGGAAATCCTGAAACGATCAAATAACCTGCATTTTAAGCTGTTTTTCGTTTGAAAACATTTGCCTAACCAAATGGCTACCATATTACATAATGCAAATGTTTGTTTGTTTTTGTTAGTTGCGCTGGTAACGGCTCAATAGTGTCATTAGTAATATTATTCTCCTGTTCCTTTTATTTTGGTTCTTGCTGTCTTCCCTTGCACGTAAAAATTAGCATGTTATCGTTCTTTGGAATGATTGATGATAATCGTTTTTAGACATCCATCTTTCTATTTCAGGGCCTGCGACGAATGGGGTAAGCATGGCCTCCCCTCACTTGTTTGCAAAACAATAGGGCTTTTTTCAAAATATTTGGTTATGATTGTTTGATTTCTCTTGTCCTTCCCATATTAAAGCATCGGAGCCTATTTCATTAATATCGCTTCATTGTTTCCTGATTGAAATGAATAAGATTGAAAGCAGCTTTTGAAATAGCAAGGGGGCTCTTGCACAAAATGTTGCTAAAAACAATGAAAAAGTAGAAATTGACTTATCTTTTGGATTAACCCTTAATCGAAAGCAAGGTCATGTCAAAATATCATAAAATTCTGCCTGCTTACATTGATCTAACCGAAAGATAAGTGTCCTGCATAAAATCCTCAATTTCATTTAACGAAAAAAATGGGGCATTTTTTGCATTGATACCGATGCTATTTGTAGCCCTTGGTCCAGGGGAAAATTGACACTTGGCTCCCTCTTATGTGGTTACTGACAATCTTTTTTATAAGAACCAGTAAATTGAAATTCAGACTGGCTGTTCTTGATTTTTTTAGAAAATCTGAGAGTGGATTGTTCTTGATTTGTTCTTGAAATATTAGGGTAAGAGCAGTACAATTGCTATCTAGCATGCTCTAGAGGGGGTTGTTTAGGCCTCGGTGGCCCGCCAACAAAGTGAGAAAGACATCCTTTATTTGCCAACAAGTTTAAAAAAAGTACCTTTATGGCAAAAAGCTCTTTGATGGGGTTTTGAGAATTTTGAAATGAAATTGTTAAATGGTTTTCACAACATTGTTCAAAATCGCATTTTACAATAGCTCAGTCCTAGCTTGTTCTTAATTTGTTCTCATTTTTTTGATGGCCAATTTTGAGGCTCGTATTCTTATAAAATTGTTCTTTTACAAAAAAGTGTAATTCAAAAAAGGTTGAAAAATTATAGTAAAATCTGTTTCTTTTTGCCGTTTTCAGAGCAAAAGAAAGAAAGGCTCTAATGAAAGACTCGTGATTTGTGACCCACAAGTTAAATCTTATTTTCCGGAGTGGTTTTTCCTCACAAAGCAAAATTTCACGAATCGTTAAAAGACATGAAATATGTTACCTTTGAAGCTGGAAAGAAGCAGATATATAATAAACAGTCATGAATTTCGAAGGTTGATTGAGGCATAGAAATGAATCGATATTTGTGATGATACAATGCATCTAAGCTCAGGAAACAGGAAAACAAGTAACGGTACAAAGTCCATTTGGAAAACAAAGGTACGCTATGTTCTGCCTCTTGTCAGATAAAGCCCTGGCAAAACGACTAAACTTTTGACTAAACTTTTGACTAAACAAAAGTTGAGTGAAATGTTTAGTGAAATGTTTAGTCGTTTTGCCAGGGCTTAATGTGCTGTATTCAGGTGTCCGAACATTTTTGGTTCTAGACCCGACACGCTGAATATTTAAAGATACCAGATGAAATATCCATGGGCGTAGCTAGTGGAGATGTAAGGGTGTGGCACCCTAAATTCTTAATGAGTTGGTGGTCGGTAAATCTTCACAATATTCTTAGTTTATCGGTAAAATCGTCTATCGGTAGTTGAAATAACACCTAAATTTCACTTAACTAAATCTTCGTTAGTAAATTTTATTATTTATGATCCTCTAACCACTAGCCTGGAAGGTCAAGCTTCGCCCGTAGAAATATTTCTATTTTTTTAGAAGGAATAAGGAGGTTGGTTGCACTGTTAACGGCAGGTTGGTTGCACAGGTCTCATTCACTACACTGTTAAAAGGGAAACATACTACAGTTTGACAATTATTGGAGGGGCTCCAACCCCCCCAGCCCCCCAGGTTCCGACGGGCCTGAGTTAGCGCTTGAGAGCCTTCTCAAGGCGGATCTCCGCTAGCCGATTGTAGATGCTTTCAATCCTGAAAGAACTTTATTTTGAACCTGACACCCTTTTTGTCATTTATGTAAATCTAAATGAATACCATTAAAGCTAGGCTTATCCTTTTCCTCTTTATATTGACAGGGAATACCAGGGAGTAATCCATATTTAACATGGGAAAAATGGGCAATTGATTTTTATTTGAATATAGTTAGGAAGCTATCTTTCAAAAATTTTGATTTAGATTTTTTTCAAGTTGATAATAACAAGACTGCTCGTAGGAAAATATAGCGGCCATCTTAATCTACGCTTTCAAAAGACTTTCTCTGTCAAGGATATATGGAACAAAATTGACAACAGAATAGACATTTTACATAAATGATACAGGAGGCTTGTGGCATGCCTTCACCAATTGCGGCATGCCCTCAAGCCAGAAAAAAGAGCAGTGACATTATAACAGGTCCTTTTTAAACATACTAACTAGGGGGCAATTGCCTCTCCAGACATAGTGATTTTTATTGCTTTAACAATAGGCTATTGTCCTTCTTCTATAAAAACAAAGGCTAGCCCCTGCAGCTGAGTTCCCTTCAAATAGGCTACGCATCGTAAACTAGCAAAAGAAATGGGAACACTAATACAAAATAGTTAAATGCAGAGCAAAGTGATGAATACGCAATGCAGATGACCACTAACAATTTCACACCTTTGAACTAGGAATGCACAGGCCAGTTAATATAGACAAGATAGCACATGTTTATCTAAATTTGATTTTATGGAATATGAATGGAGACGTCATCAAATAAAAAACATGTCCAAATACTCAGACCTGAAGTATCAAACTAAGCAGTTCATTACCCTTACGACATCAAGGCCGGGATTAACCTCGTTTTGGAATTTCCTCTGAATTAGTAAAAGTTGTGACTTGACACAGAAATGAGAATCCGCAACAAGTCCAGCTTCCTATCAGCTCTTTTAGATCATAAATCTAGAACAGGGGGGAGGAGGCGGGGGCAGGGGGCGAGGTTTATTGCTACGATTGAAATTAGAGAGAAGACAAAGCAATCAAGATTATCGAAGTCGCATTATAAAACATTCAACAAAAAAGAAGCCAATTAAAGATGAATAAAATGATAATAAGGAACTTTGATTAAGAAATGGGTTGATTGAAAAGACAAATGAGGATAGTTCTAAAGATAGCTGATACAATGCAAATCCTTCTTTTTGTAACTCACTAGTGAGATACTTAAAAAGGTTTATGTGTGTGTGCGTGTTTGGGGAGAGGGGAGGGGGGGTGGTTGTAAAAAGTTGGTTTTAATTAGCTTGAGTATGCATAGCTAAAAATTGTACCAACTTTAAATAAAGAAAAAAAAAGAAAAAACCCCCGTCGGTGAATTTGGCTTTGATTCTGTAGAATGATTTTTTTGGTAATCAGTAGTAATCAAATATGCAAAACTTTTACGTTATCTAGGTTTTTACTTTCTTTACCTCAAAGCTAAAAATCGAATTGTAAAAATAGGCGTTTGTATCGAATTCTAGGTATTTGAAGGGAGTGGTACAAAAATCTTATTATTATCTAAGACCCTTTCCGATGCTTGCTCCTACATCTGTCCCTGTGACTTAGTGACTTCCAACGTTACAGATAAATTTTCGGCCCAGCTTTATGCAACTAAGTTGAGAGGGGCGCTTAATAACAAACTGTCCATCAATATTTCGCACAGAGGTGATACAGCTCAGGACAAGAGGATTCCTTTGCTTGCACACATTCATCCTGTCTTGAAAGTCTGACCAAACTGTAAGCATGGCGCTCATGTTGACCACTGCCCATATTTGGACTTTGCTAAATGACATTTTTGCTAGGAGAGTCGCCCACAGGTTTTCTAGAAAATAACCTTTGAACCTGATCAATTGAATAATA